ACACACACACACACACGGGCAGGTATTTTAGGTTGATTTTAAGGTATAAATTTAAAGGTATTTTTCCGATAAAGTTTTTTCAATATCAATATCTATCATGCCTTACCACCTATCATGCCTTACTATCATGCCTTACCACCTACCATGACTCACTATCATGCCTTACCACCTATCATGCCTTACTACCTATCATGCCTTACCACCTATCATGCCTTGCTATCTTGCCTCACCACCTACCATGACTCACTATCATGCCTTACCACCTATCATGCCTTACTACCTATCATGCCTTACCACCTATCATGCCTTACTATCTTGCCTCACCACCTACCATGACTCACTATCATGCCTTACCACCTATTATGCTTCACCACCTATCATGCCACACTTGACTAACACCTCTCTATCATGCCACAGATCACAACATGATAACAGAGATGAAAGAAGCTATCCTGCTCGCCATCCCGCTCTCCCTGCTGTTAACTCTGGTGCTAATATCATGTGTCGTCTGCTGCTGCTGTTGTCGTTGTAAAAGTCGTCCTACACCCCAGTACGACCCCCACGACCCCCGGTACGACCCCCAGTACGACCCCCACGACCCCCGGTACGACCTGTTGAAGCCTTATGACGACCAGCACGACCAGACCTCACTCTTGTCGTCCACTCATCACCGTTCTGAACAGTGGACCGTTTTGGGGTGAGTTGATGGATAGACAGATTTATATAGACAGTGTAGGTACAGAATAGACGGAAGGACAAAGACACAGACAGACAGAATGAGAGATAGAGATTGACAGACAATTATAGACAGAGAAGGAGAGAGTCTGACAGGCAATTAAAGACAGATTGAGAGACAGACAAGGAAGGAATCTGACAGGTAATGACAGATAGACAGATGTTAATTTTATGTTTCTTATCAACAGGTTGGGTGTGTTCGAGGCGTGTTTACCTAAGACTCCAAGGTGGACCTCCAGGAAGCCCAGACAGCCAGAGTACCAGCCGGAGGACTTGGCCGTGGAGGATGACCCCGTGACCCCAGCCAGGACAGATGGGGTCACCTTTCACCCTCCGTTATACAGGCTGTTATCAAATCTACCTCCCGGGGCGTCTTATCTCGAGGATGACCTTAATCTCGAGGATGACCTTAATCTCGAGGACGACCCCCAGATGACCCTCTTACCGTATAAGTCATCCTCACTTCAGCATGGTTTGAGTACGAGCTTCAAGGAGCAGTGTTATTATCCATGTTACCACACTGCCTCATACTCGATGCCAAGGCGATCACACTCCCTCGAGTTTTTGACCGTTTGAGGAGGAGGCCGAGGAGGAGGATGATGGAGAATGGAAAGAGGAGGAAGAGGAAGATGAATAAAACACATGATAAACAACAAACAACACAAAGAAGACAAGACAATCACTAAACGTAGACACAAGAAATAGGAAAATAAAATTAAATAAATTATCCCTCGAAAGAAAAATCAGAGAAAATGGTACGTGAATATTATTGTGATTTTGAGTAATGTTGGTACTCCTGTTTGTTTGGATTACTGGTAGTGTTGGTAGCCCTGATATACCTTAGATACGGTTTGAGTAATAAAGAATTAGATAAAGTAGATCGGGTTATGAGAGAAAGGGAGAGGAGAAGAGAGATACACAAAGAGAATGGGAGATAAGGTATATAATGAAAGTGATAGGTAAATAGAGGGTTAAAGGGAAGAGGAAGGGAGAGAGTGAGACAGATAAACATAAGACAAAGGGAAATATATACATGAAGGAGAGGGAGGGAGAGTAAAGTAATTTGGAACACGCCAATCGCTGTTATTTTGTTTACGAGGCGTTTATTGTTTATGGGGGATACAGGTGTCTATAGTTTAGGAGGGATACAGGGGTTTATAGTTTATGAGGATACAGGGGTTTATTGTTTATGGGGGATACAGGGCTTATTGTTTAGGCGGGGGGACACAGGGGTTTATAGTTCAGATACAGGCGTTTATAGTTTATGGGGATACAGGTGTTCATAGTTAGAGGGATAAATAGGGGTTTATAGTTTATGGGGATACAGGTTTATAGTTTGAAAGAGGGGATACAGGCATTTATAGTTTATGGGGGATACAGGTGCTCAGGCAGAGTGGGATACAGGGGTTTATAGTTTAGGAGGATACAGGCATTTATAGTTTATGGGGATACAGGTGTCTATAGTTTAGGAGGATGAGGTTTATAGTTTAGAGGGTTACAGGCATTTATAGTTTAGAGATGCTATATGTTTATAGTTTAGGAGGGATACATAAGGTTATAGTTTAGGAGGGGCAGGGCATTTATAGTTTAAGAGGGATACAGGCATCTATAGTTTAGAGGGGATGTTAGCATTTATAGTTTATGGGGATACAGGTACTATAGTTTAGAGGACAGGCATCTATAGTTTAGGAGGAATACAGGTATTTATAGTTTAGGAGGGATACAGGTGTTTATAGTTTAGGAGGGATACAGGCATTTATAGTTTAGAGGGACAGGCATTATAGTTTATGGGGATACAGGTGTTGAGAAGTTTTGGAAGGATACAGGCATCTATAGTTTAGGGGAGGATACAGGCATTTATAGTTTAGGAGGGATACAGGCATTTATAGTTTATGGGGATACAGGTGTCTATAGTTTCGGAGGGATACAGGCATCTATAGTTTAGGAGGGATACAGGCATCTATAGTTTAGGAGGGATACAGGCATCTATAGTTTATGGGGATACAGGTGTCTATAGTTTCGGAGGGATACAGGCATCTATAGTTTAGGAGGGATACAGGCATCTATAGTTTAGGAGGGATACAGGCATTTATAGTTTAAGAGGGGTACAGGCGTTTGTAGTTTAGGAGGAATACACGCATTTATAGTTTAGGAGGGATACAGGCATTTATAGTTTATGGGGATACAGGTGTCTATAGCTTCGGAGGGGTACAGGCATTTATAGTTTATGGGGATACAGGTGTCTATAGTTTCGGAGGGATACAGGCATCTATAGTTTATGGGGATACAGGTGTCTATAGTTTCGGAGGGGTACAGGCATTTATAGTTTATGGGGATACAGGTGTCTATAGTTTCGGAGGGATACAGGCATCTATAGTTTATGGGGATACAGGTGTCTATAGTTTCGGAGGGACAGGCGTTTGTAGTTTAGGAGGGATACAGGCATTTATAGTTTAGGAGGGATACAGGCATTTATAGTTTATGGGGATACAGGTGTCTATAGTTTCGGAGGGATACAGGCATTTATAGTTTATGGGGATACAGGTGTCTATAGTTTCGGAGGGATACAGGCATCTATAGTTTAGGAGGGATACAGGCATCTATAGTTTAGGAGGGATACAGGCATTTACAGTTTAAGAGGGATACAGGCGTTTGTAGTTTAGGAGGGATACAGGCATTTATACTTTAGGAGGGATACAAGCATTTATAGTTTATGGGGATACAGGTGTCTATAGTTTCGGGGGGATACAGGCATCTATAGTTTAGAGGATACAGGTATTTATAGTTTAGGAGGGATACAGGCATTTATAGTTTAGGAGGGATACAGGCATTTATAGTTTAAGAGGGATACAGGCGTTTGTAGTTTAGGCAGGATTTATAGTTTAGAGGGATACAGGCGTTTACAGGATTTATAGTTTATGGGGATACAGGTATAGTTTCGGAGGGATTTGGATCCATAGTTTAAGAGGGATACAGGCGTTTGTAGTTTAGGCAGGATACAGGCATTTATAGTTTAGGGGGGATACAGGCGTTTATAGTTTAGGCAGGATACAGGCGTTTATTTTTTACATGGTGAAAAAGTCGTATTTCAAAGTAGATGAAATAATTGCTAGTGAATGGTAGACAGTAGATGGGAAAGTAGTAGAAAGTAGAATATGAAAATAAAAGTTGACTTGAGGAACGAGGTAAGAGTTATAAGCAGTTATCTCAAGTAGGAACCTTTGAGAATCCATCTTTGTGTGGTAGCTTAAGTGAGTCAGTTAGATACGTTCTCACATCACCAGTTAGGAGGAAAACTTAACGTAGGAACCTTTGAGAATCCATCTTTGTGTTGTAGCTTAAGTGAGTCAGTTAGATACGTTCTCACATCACCAGTTAGGAGGAAAACTTAACGTAGGAACCTTTGAGAATCCATCTTTGTGTTAGCTTAAGTGAGTCAGTTAAGTTAGGAGGAAAACTTAACGTAGGAACCTTTGAGAATCCATCTTTGTGTGGTAGCTTAAGTGAGTCAGTTAGATACGTTCTCACATCACCAGTTAGGAGGAAAACTTAACGTAGGAACCTTTGAGAATCACATCTTTGTGTGGTAGCTTAAGTGAGTCAGTTAGATACGTTCTCACATCACCAGTTAGGAGGAAAACTTAACGTAGGAACCTTTGAGAATCCATCTTTGTGTGGTAGCTTAAGTGAGACAGTTAGATACGTTCTCACATCACCAGTTAGGAGGAAAACTTAACGTAGGAACCTTTGAGAATCCATCTTTGTGTGGTAGCTTAAGTGAGACAGTTAGATACGTTCTCACATCACCAGTTAGGAGGAAAACTTAACGTAGGAACCTTTGAGAATCCATCTAGTGTGGTAGCTTAAGTGAGACAGTTAGATACGTTCTCACATCACCAGTTAGGAGGAAAACTTAACGTAGGAACCTTTGAGAATCCATCTTTGTGTGGTAGCTTAAGTGAGTCAGTTAGATACGTTCTCACATCACCAGTTAGGAGGAAAACTTAACGTAGGAACCTTTGAGAATTTCTACGTACATAATTTTAAATATTGATAAAAAAAATGGTAATTAATATTTCTATTTACAAGATGAAGTTTATTACGATGAAATAATTTAACAAGATCATCAAAGAGAACTTAATATAGCTAGAGGGGGGGCACTCATTAACCAGCCTCACCTGCCCTTCACTATAGGTCCTTGCACACGGTCAGGTATGGTCAGGTGTGTACAGGTAGACTCCACCGTGTAATTAAGGTGAACGGAGATGTACTTGTGGGGAAAAATAGATCCTTGTACCTTAGCCCTGATTAGTGAGAGATCCTCAGGTAGGTAGACAGGTGAATAGGTAGATAGAGCGAGAGAAGGAGAGAGAAAGGGAGAGAGAGCGAGAGAAGGAGAGAGAGAAGGAGAGAGAAAGGGAGAGAGAGCGAGAGCCAATACACCTTTGATCGTACAGGTACATTCAAGGCGTCTTTATAAAGTAATTAAGGACAGGTGTCACATCACACGCACACACACACACACACACACACACACACACACACACACACACACACACACACACACGCACACACACAGAACAGTTTTGTTTATTAATTATCGACTAATATTTTATTTGTTTACAGCTGAAGATGTGATTGGTAGCGTCAGGGAGGAGTCAATCAACGCCATCCAATCACAGAATAGCATACTGGTGACGTCATATGAAGGCAATCAATCACAAACAGGCATACTGGTGACGTCACATGAAACCAACCAATCACAGGGACAGGTGTCGGTGACGTCACACAAAGAAAACCAATCAGAACACGGTGGAGACTTCCTGGACGTCATTCTAATGGTTCTCAGGAGGAAATTACTATCGTTCTCACAAGACAGCCATGAGAAAGACGACTCGGGAGCAAAGAATGACGTTCGTAGACGGAGAAACATCCATAACGGAGAGGACATTGACAAACAGAGAGGCATGACGTATGAGAGGAAAGACTATGACGTCACAAGCGATTACAGTGACGTCACAAGCGATTACAGTGACGTCACAGGGGATCATGACGTCAGGGATTACATACAAGGGAAGCTCAAAGCCCCGAAAGATCCCCAGCAGCAGGAGGTGATGGTGGCTCCCAGTGGACACCATCGCCTGAGACACTCTGAGAGGAAGGTCCATCACAGGGGCTTTAGACGGGAGGAGGAGAGACAGAAGCCTAGGACAGAAGGAAATAAACAGACAGAAGTTGAGTCCTGGATGGAAGGAAGAGAGGAGGAGGAGGAGAAGAAGACGAAAGAGGAGGAGGAGGAGGAGGAAGAAGAGGGACCTATAACAGTAGCACAACAAGACCTCGACAACACCTCCACCCTTAATTACACACAGACAGGTAAACCCACAGGTAATTAAGGCCAAAATTTACCTGTAATAAACCCCTTAAATTATCAAGATTTACCTGTATGTATTTTGAGTTTTACCTAAAATTGTTACTTACACAGGGACACGTACACACACAGGGACACGTACACACACACACACACACACACGGGCAGGTATTTTAGGTTGATTTTAAGGTATAAATTTAAAGGTATTTTTCCGATAAAGTTTTTTCAATATCAATATCTATCATGCCTTACCACCTATCATGCCTTACTATCATGCCTTACCACCTACCATGACTCACTATCATGCCTTACCACCTATCATGCCTTACTACCTATCATGCCTTACCACCTATCATGCCTTGCTATCTTGCCTCACCACCTACCATGACTCACTATCATGCCTTACCACCTATCATGCCTTACTACCTATCATGCCTTACCACCTATCATGCCTTACTATCTTGCCTCACCACCTACCATGACTCACTATCATGCCTTACCACCTATTATGCCTTACTGCCTTACCACCTATCATGCCTTACTATCTTGCCTCACCACCTACCATGACTCACTATCATGCCTTACCACCTATTATGCTTCACCACCTATCATGCCACACTTGACTAACACCTCTCTATCATGCCACAGATCACAACATGATAACAGAGATGAAAGAAGCTATCCTGCTCGCCATCCCGCTCTCCCTGCTGTTAACTCTGGTGCTAATATCATGTGTCGTCTGCTGCTGCTGTTGTCGTTGTAAAAGTCGTCCTACACCCCAGTACGACCCCCACGACCCCCGGTACGACCCCCAGTACGACCCCCACGACCCCCGGTACGACCTGTTGAAGCCTTATGACGACCAGCACGACCAGACCTCACTCTTGTCGTCCACTCATCACCGTTCTGAACAGTGGACCGTTTTGGGGTGAGTTGATGGATAGACAGATTTATATAGACAGTGTAGGTACAGAATAGACGGAAGGACAAAGACACAGACAGACAGAATGAGAGATAGAGATTGACAGACAATTATAGACAGAGAAGGAGAGAGTCTGACAGGCAATTAAAGACAGATTGAGAGACAGACAAGGAAGGAATCTGACAGGTAATGACAGATAGACAGATGTTAATTTTATGTTTCTTATCAACAGGTTGGGTGTGTTCGAGGCGTGTTTACCTAAGACTCCAAGGTGGACCTCCAGGAAGCCCAGACAGCCAGAGTACCAGCCGGAGGACTTGGCCGTGGAGGATGACCCCGTGACCCCAGCCAGGACAGATGGGGTCACCTTTCACCCTCCGTTATACAGGCTGTTATCAAATCTACCTCCCGGGGCGTCTTATCTCGAGGATGACCTTAATCTCGAGGATGACCTTAATCTCGAGGACGACCCCCAGATGACCCTCTTACCGTATAAGTCATCCTCACTTCAGCATGGTTTGAGTACGAGCTTCAAGGAGCAGTGTTATTATCCATGTTACCACACTGCCTCATACTCGATGCCAAGGCGATCACACTCCCTCGAGTTTTTGACCGTTTGAGGAGGAGGCCGAGGAGGAGGATGATGGAGAATGGAAAGAGGAGGAAGAGGAAGATGAATAAAACACATGATAAACAACAAACAACACAAAGAAGACAAGACAATCACTAAACGTAGACACAAGAAATAGGAAAATAAAATTAAATAAATTATCCCTCGAAAGAAAAATCAGAGAAAATGGTACGTGAATATTATTGTGATTTTGAGTAATGTTGGTACTCCTGTTTGTTTGGATTACTGGTAGTGTTGGTAGCCCTGATATACCTTAGATACGGTTTGAGTAATAAAGAATTAGATAAAGTAGATCGGGTTATGAGAGAAAGGGAGAGGAGAAGAGAGATACACAAAGAGAATGGGAGATAAGGTATATAATGAAAGTGATAGGTAAATAGAGGGTTAAAGGGAAGAGGAAGGGAGAGAGTGAGACAGATAAACATAAGACAAAGGGAAATATATACATGAAGGAGAGGGAGGGAGAGTAAAGTAATTTGGAACACGCCAATCGCTGTTATTTTGTTTACGAGGCGTTTATTGTTTATGGGGGATACAGGTGTCTATAGTTTAGGAGGGATACAGGGGTTTATAGTTTATGAGGATACAGGGGTTTATTGTTTATGGGGGATACAGGGGTTTATTGTTTATGGGGGATACAGGGGTTTATAGTTCATGGGGGATACAGGCGTTTATAGTTTATGGGGGATACAGGTGCTCAGGTTAGAGGGATACAGGGTTTATAGTTTATGGGGATATTAGGGTTTATAGTTTAAGAGGGGATACAGGCATTTGGTTTATGGGGATACAGGTGTCTATAGATACAGGTTATAGTTTATGGGGACAAGAGGGTTTATAGTTTGGGGGATACAGGGTTTATAGATGGTGGGATACAGGGTTATAGTTTATGGGGATACAGGATGTTTATAGTTTATGGGGGATACAGGGGTTTATAGTTTAGGAGGGGATCAGGGGTTTATAGTTTGGAGGGGTACAGGTTTATAGTTTATGAGGGTACAGGGGTTTATAGTTTATGGGGATACAGGCGTTTATAGTTTAGAGGGGATACACGTTTATAGTTTAGGATACAGGCGTTTATAGTTTATGGGGATACACGTTTATAGTTTATGGGGATACAGGGTTTATAGTTTAGGAGGTACAGGGTTTATAGTTTATGGGGATACAGGGGTTTATAGTTTATGGGGATACAGGCGTTTATAGTTTATGGGGATACAGGCGTTTATAGTTTATGGGGATACAGGGGTTTATAGTTTATGGGGATACAGGTGTTTATAGTTTGGAGGGATACAGGCATTATAGTTTATGGGGATACAGGCGTTTATAGTTTAGGAGGATACAGGTATATATGGGGATACAGGTGTTTATAGTTTCGGAGGGATACAGGCGTTTATAGTTTATGAGGGATACAGGCGTTTATAGTTTGGGAGGATACAGGCGTTTATAGTTTAAGATATGGGCGTTTATAGTTTAGGATACAGGCGTTTATAGTTTAGGGGGATACAGGCGTTTATAGTTTATGGGGATACAGGCGTTTATTGGGGGATACAGGCGTTTATAGTTTAGGGGGATACAGTATGAGTTTTGGGGTACAGACTTATAGTTTATAGTATTGAGTTTATGGGGATACAGGGTGTTTATAGTTTAGGGGGATACAGGCGTTTATAGTTTATGGGGATACAGGTGTTTATAGTTTATGGGGGTACAGGCGTTTATAGTTTATGGGGGATAGGGGTGTTTATAGTTTATGGAGGATACAGGCGTTTATAGTTTATGGGGATACAGGTGTCTATAGTTTAGGGGATACAGGCATCTATAGTTTAGGAGGATACAGGCATTTATAGTTTAGAGATGCAGGCATTTATAGTTTAGGAGGATAGGCATTATAGTTTAGGAGGGATACAGGCATTTATAGTTTAGGGGGATACAGGTGTCTATAGTTTAGGAGGATACAGGCATCTATAGTTTAGGAGGGATACAGGCATCTATAGTTTAGGAGGGATACAGGCATTTACAGTTTAAGAGGGATACAGGCGTTTGTAGTTTAGGAGGGATACAGGCATTTATACTTTAGGAGGGATACAAGCATTTATAGTTTATGGGGATACAGGTGTCTATAGTTTCGGGGGGATACAGGCATCTATAGTTTAGGAGGGATACAGGCATTTATAGTTTAGGAGGGATACAGGCATTTATAGTTTAGGAGGGATACAGGCATTTATAGTTTAAGAGGGATACAGGCGTTTGTAGTTTAGGCAGGATACAGGCATTTATAGTTTAGGAGGGATACAGGCGTTTATAGTTTAGGAGGGATACAGGCGTTTATAGTTTATGGGGATACAGGTGTCTATAGTTTCGGAGGGATACAGGCATTTATAGTTTAAGAGGGATACAGGCGTTTGTAGTTTAGGCAGGATACAGGCATTTATAGTTTAGGGGGGATACAGGCGTTTATAGTTTAGGCAGGATACAGGCGTTTATTTTTTACATGGTGAAAAAGTCGTATTTCAAAGTAGATGAAATAATTGCTAGTGAATGGTAGACAGTAGATGGGAAAGTAGTAGAAAGTAGAATATGAAAATAAAAGTTGACTTGAGGAACGAGGTAAGAGTATAAGCAGTTATCTCAAGTAGGAACCTTTGAGAATCCATCTTTGTGTGGTAGCTTAAGTGAGTCAGTTAGATACGTTCTCACATCACCAGTTAGGAGGAAAACTTAACGTAGGAACCTTTGAGAATCCATCTTTGTGTTGTAGCTTAAGTGAGTCAGTTAGATACGTTCTCACATCACCAGTTAGGAGGAAAACTTAACGTAGGAACCTTTGAGAATCCATCTTTGTGTGGTAGCTTAAGTGAGTCAGTTAGATACGTTCTCACATCACCAGTTAGGAGGAAAACTTAACGTAGGAACCTTTGAGAATCCATCTTTGTGTTGTAGCTTAAGTGAGTCAGTTAGATACGTTCTCACATCACCAGTTAGGAGGAAAACTTAACGTAGGAACCTTTGAGAATCCATCTTTGTGTTGTAGCTTAAGTGAGTCAGTTAGATCCGTTCTCACATCACCAGTCAGGAGGAAAACTTAACGTAGGAACCTTTGAGAATCACATCTTTGTGTGGTAGCTTAAGTGAGTCAGTTAGATACGTTCTCTCATCACCAGTCAAGAGGATAATTTATGTCCTATCCTGTTAGTAAAATTTCTTATTAATTTCGCGATAGTTTGGCGGTATTTAAGAAACAAGACATTCTGGGAATTTTTTTGTTTTACAGGTGAACCAACACTACCCAAGTTATTTTTTTTTCCAAGTTATTAGGTCATTATTTAATTATACACATTTTGTACATAGTATTTGTATTTATCTATTAGTATGTATAGCAGTCATTTATCAGGTAACGTTATATAAACACTAAGCAATGTCATAACACACACACATACTAACCTAACCAACAACTATATATCTATTTTTAATATATAACTTAGATAATATTTACACTAGAATCAAATATTTCCTCAGGTTGTTGTTGTTGTGACATAGAAACACGTAAGAGTTTGATTCATATCAGATTAAATGTGTCTTTAGAATTTAATATTAACATTTAACTAACCTTTTGATGTGAGAAGAGTTTATTGGTTAAAATAGAAGTGGATTCATTAATAGTTTTTATATATAAATTAGTGATTGGTTGTGGTATAAATGTGTCTTGATAATTATTTACCTCATAACTTTGTAATTAATATATAAATTAGTGTTATTATACAGTATTTAGTTTAGTGTTAATTAATGCATTTTATTTACAAGATGATTTATTAATTTATTTATATTTTTACGTAAAATTTATCATAATTTCTTGAGATAAAAATTTGGCCTCAAATTCTCAGTTTCCTGCGTTAAATTTCCCTCCCGACGATAATTATAATTTGTGTCAAGTTAACTAACGAGTATACGAGGAATCTCAGTATATATGTAATGTTATTTTTATGTTTTATCGTAAATTAACCAGATAGATATGAGGAGTGATAATCGTAGGAACCTTTGAGAATCTGATATCAGGATTATGAGTCAGTTCAAGGGGCATCCCGGGATGGTAGAGAGAGGGAGGGGCGCTGACCTCACAAATCACACATAGGTTGAGAGAAAATAGATATTATCTCCCTTGTGGTGTAGAAAGATAGATAGACTGGATGAGATAGAATGGGTATATATGATAATGTATATATCCCTTTTTCCCTGTAGGTATGCGAGGCTCTTGGGTACACCTGGAGATTAGCCACCCCCAAGATTATTTTACCTGGTGATTAAACCCCCTGATGCTAGCTGTGGAAATAAGGTTAAATTAGTGTGGTTAAGTTAGGTCAAGTTAAGTTATAAAATCAGAATAGTTAATTTTAAGTGAAATAACCCCGGGGTGACTAATCTTCAGATGCTCCGGATGTCGTAAAACACAAAAAAAACCACATCCCAATTAGTCATTCAGTAATTAACAAGAACCAATACCCATAGATAATTACCCTATTTTTAACCAACGTTGATACATGAAACTTGTAAAATACATAAATAAAAAACTATGACAATATTGTGTTTTATTATGAACACTATCCAGTCTACCTGTTTGTGTTGAGGTCAATTTTTATTTACCTGTCTGTTGTGGTATTTAAGGTGAGAAATTATAATGGTCTTTGTGATATGTAGAGATGATTATAGTAAGTAAATATGTAGGAATTATAGATAAGTAGATGATGTATAAATAATTAGATATGTATAGAGATGAATAAGTAGATAGGTATTTCGTCAGGTAAAATCGTCAATGACCGATTCATGTATACATAACACAGGTAAGCAATGTATAATCAAGAAATTACCGTCATTAATAAGTATAAACCTTGAAGAATATTGAAATTGTATTCTTTTGTGTATTTCAGAGTCTGTTTGAAGAGGATAAAAGAAAAGGAAAAGTAATTAGAGACGTGACCAATCGCACCAAGCTACTAACGAGTCAATTAGTGGTTAAGAGGATAACAGCATCAAATAAGCCACATATTCCCTTATAAGATCTTGATATATAAGTTAGTCCTTAAAATAATTTCTCGTTTTCTAGTTGTTACGTTTTCTATAAGACATTGATCGGTTAGATATCATATCTCTTAGTTTAGACTTGTTATTATTCCTTATTTTACCTGTTTTTAGATATATTAAAGACAAGATATACATATAGTAATGATAAAATAATAGTATAGTTCTAATTAAAGGTAGAGTATGTTTATTATATTGATTAATTATGTGTTTTAAAGTGAAATAAGAGAGGTGAGAGAGGGAGTGAATGGCCACCTCCATCAAGCCAAAAAGAGAGAGAGAGAGAGAGAAGACCTTAGTAACATCACCACAAAATCCCTAATTTCCTTCAATATTCTACAAGGGATGTCTGCTCCGTATGGGTATATGGGAGGAATGATGAGTAAGTATCACCATTAACTCATAATACTTAGAGATAACTAGTGATTTAAGGTGTAATAGAGGGAAAATTAACTCAGGTTGGGGGGGGAGAAATATCGACTACGACTCCCGTGTTGGACTCTGCCATGACAACAATTATCGGCTTTAACCTTATTTTAACCTTATTTTAACCTTATTTATGGTTTATTTATCGTTAATTTATCCCTATAGGTTAATGTCATGGGATCTATAACACCTTTAACCCCTCTATGGTGTATTTTGAGAGATATTAACACTTATATGTTGGTATTTAATGAGGTTTTTATTCTATGATCTTTAAATGACTGTGTTTACTTGTTTACTTAGTGGTGTTGTTAGTTACTAGTGGTGTTGTTAGTGGTGTTGTTAGTTGTGTTGTGAGTTAGTGGTGTTGTTAGTTAGTGGTGTTGTTAGTTAGTGGTGTTGTTACTTAGTGGTGGTGTTAGTTAGTGGTGGTGTTACTTACTGGTGGTGTTGTGAGTTAGTGGTGTTGTTAGTAGTGTTGTTACTTAGTGGTGTTGGTACTTAGTGGTGGTGTTAGTGGTGGTGTTACTTACTGGTGGTGTTGTTAGTGGTGTTGTGAATTAGTGGTGTTGTTACTTACTGGTGGTGTTAGTTAATGGTTGGTGGTTGTACTTATGGTGGTGTTTGGTGTTGTTCTTGGTGGTGTGTGAGTTAGTGGTGTTGTTACTTAGTGGTGTTGTTACTTAGTGGTGTTGTTACTTACTGGTGGTGTTAGTTGGTGGTGTTGTGAGTTAGTTTGTTGCTTACTGGTGGTGGTTAGTAGTGTTGTTAGTTAGTGGTGTTGTTAGTTAGTGGTGTTGTTAGTTAAGTGGTGTTGTTACTTACTGGTGGTGTTGTTAGTGGTGTTGTTTTAGTGGTGTTGTTGCTTAGTGGTGTTGTTAGTTAGTGGTGTTGTTAGTTAGTGGTGTTGTTAGTTAGTGGTGTTGTGAGTTAGTGGTGTGGTTAGTGGTGTTGTGAGTTGTGGTGTTGTGAGTTAGTGGTGTTGTTAGTGGTGTTGTGAGTTAGTGGTGGTGTTGTTAGTGGTGTTGTGAGTTAGTGGTGTTGTGTTGTTAGTGGTGTTGTGGTGTGGTGTTGTTGTTAGTGTTGTTTAGTGGTGTTGTTTGTTGGTGTTGTTTTTAGTGGTGTTGTGAGTTAGTGGTGTTGTGAGTTAGTGGTGTTGTTAGTGGTGTTGTGAGTTAGTATGGTGTTGTTAGTGGTGTGAGTTAGTGGTGTTGTTGTTAGTGTTGTTGTTAGTGGTGTTGTTTGTTAGTGGTGTTGTGAGTTAGTGGTTTGTGAGTTAGTGGTGTTGTGAGTTAGTGGTGTTGTTAGTGGTGTTGTGAGTTAGTAGTGGTGTTGTGAGTTAGTGGTGTTGTTGGTGGTGTTGTAAGTTAGTGGTGTTGGTTTAGTGGTGTTGTGAGTTAGTGGTGTTGTTAGTGGTGTTGAGAGTTAGTGGTGTTGTTAGTGGTGTTGTGAGTTAGTGGTGTTGTTGTTGGTGGTGTTGTTGGTGTTGTAGGTTAGTGGTGTTGTTGTTGGTGTTGTGAGTTAGTGGTGTTGTTAGTGGTGTTGTGATTTAGTGGTGTTGTGAGTTAGTGGTGTTGTTTGTTAGTGGTGTTGTTAGTGGTGTTGTGAGTTAGTGTGTTGTTGTTAGTGGTGGTGTTGGAGTTAGTGGTGTTGTTTGTTAGTGGTGTTGTGAGTTAGTGGTGTTGTTTTGAGTTGTTGTTAGTGTTGTGAGTTAGTGGTGTTGTTTGTTAGTGGTGTTGTTAGTGGTGTTGTGTAGTTGGTGGTGTTGTTAGTGGTGTTGTGAGTTAGTAGTGGTGTTGTTGGTGTTGTTGAGTTAGTGGTGTTGTTGTTAGTGGTGTTGTTGTTATTGGTGTTGTGAGTTAGTGATGTTGTGAGTTAGTGGTGTTGTGAGTTAGTGGTGTTGTGAGTTAGTGTGGTGTGAGTTAGTGGTGTTGTTAGTTAGTGGTGTGTTGTTAGTTAGTGGTGTTGTTAGTTAGTGGTGTTGTTAGTTAGTGGTGTTGTTATTGGTGTTGTGAGTTAGTGGTGTTGTTAGTTAGTGGTGTTGTTAGTGGTGTTAGTGGTGTTGTGGGTTAGTGGTGTTGTTAGTTAGTGGTGTTGTTAGTGGTGTTGTGAGTTAGTGGTGGTGTTGTTAGTGGTGGTGTTAGTGGTGTTGTGAGTTAGTGGTGTTGTTACTTACTGGTGGTGTGAGTTAGTGGTGTTGAGTTAGTGGTGTTGTTAGTTAGTGGTGTTAGTGGTGTTGTGAGTTAGTGGTGTTGTTACTTACTGGTGTTGTTAGTTAGTGGTGTTGTTAGTTAGTGGTGTTGTTAGTGGTGTTGTTAGTTAGTGGTGTTGTTAGTGTGTTAGTGGTGTTGTGAGTTATGGTGTTGTTAGTTAGTGGTGTTGTTAGTGGTGTTGTGAGTTAGTGGTGGTGTTGTTAGTGGTGTTAGTGGTGAGTTAGTGGTGTTGTTACTACTGGTGTTGTGAGTTAGTGGTGTTGTTAGTTAGTGGTGTTGTTAGTTAGTGGTGTTGTTAGTGGTGTTGTTAGTGGTGTTATGAGTTAAGGACAGTGAACCCCAGCGTACAGTACAGTATATCACTCTGGTTTGCCACTAATATCACACATGATTCTATCTGTCTGTCTTCGTCTGTCTGTCTGTCTGTCTGTCTGTCTGTCTGTCTCTGTCTGTCTGTCTCTCTGTCTGTTGCTGTCTGTCTGTTCGTCTGGTCTGTCTGTCTGTTCGCTGTTGTCTCTGTCTGTCTGCCTCTGTCCCTCTGGTTCGTCTCGTCTCTGTCTGTCTGTCTTCTGTCTGTCTGTCTGTCTGTCTTCGTCTGTCTGTCTGTCTGTCTGTCTGTCTGTCTGTCTGTCTTGGTCTGTCTGTCTGTCTCTGTCTGTTCGTCTGTCTGTCTGTCTGTCTGTCTGCTGTCTGTCTGTCTGTTCTGCGTCTGTCTCCTCTGTCTGTTCGTCTGTCTGTCTGTCTCTGTCTGTCTGTCTGCCCGTTCGTTCGTCTCTGTCTGTCTGTCTCTGTCTGTCTGTCTCTCTGTCTGTCTGTCTGTCTGTCTGTCTCTGTCTGTCTGTCTGTCTGTCTGTCTGTCTGTCTGTCTGTCTGTCTGTCTGTCTCTCTCACTCATACCTTTTGACTAAGATGAGGTGGGAGCCTGGGAGGGGGTGGTGCTGGAAAGGATGGAGGAGGCAGGGCAGGGTGGTGCAGGAGAGGAAGGGGGAGGGGCAGAAAGAGGGAGAGGAAGGAGGTGGGGCAGAGTAGTGTGGGAGAGAAGGGGGGGGGTGGGATGGGGGGTTGACACAGTAACAGGATGCTGGCAGGTGGGGTGCTGTACTAGTGAAGGGTCTGACGTCACCTCACCTGCCACACTGCAAGGTTACTTAATTAATGACACACCTGAGGACCTACCTGTTGTTTGGCCCTTTATTGAAATGAGTATTTTTTTTTTGGGTGGGAGGGTAACTGGGAAGTGATCACATGAAGAATAGCCCCCCCTCCCCCTAGCTAATTATCTTAATGTTGACCTAATCTAACCTAACTTAACCTAACATAATCTAACCAAAGCTAACCTAACCTAATCTAACTTAAAATAGCATAACCTCACCTAATCTAACCCTCTTAGGTAGTGTTAGGGTGTTAAATCATCAGGTGAATTAGGCTGGGGGTGGGAGGTAATCTCGAGGTGCTCCCGGGATGATTTAAGACATCCTTAAAATATTCACCATGGAGGGTCGTGGTCGCCAACCCTCAGTATAGTCGTCCTGCTCCCATTGGACTGTAAAACCGGATTAAAATTACAGGTCATATGTTTCTCTGCTTAAACGATAATTTGATTGTGTATTTAACATTGGTTTTAGCGTTTAATGTTGATTTTACTACCGTGTGAGTGAGTCTGCGAATTGTTATTGTGTGCGATATGTGGAACCATTGTGTAAACAGAGAGGAAGAGGAACACAGCCACGAACTACCTGCCTGCCTCACCTTGTAACACTGACTCACTGACATTGACACAGTAACGATCACACAGTGGGTCAAGTTTGTTGTGGCGACATCATTACACTTTTAATTTCTATCTTGTCTCTCGTGTTACTAAAAAAAACCGCTGTAGGTGAATGCTGTCCGGATATTACGACGTTATACAAGTAGATCCTGATTTTGAATTGGGTTACGTTCCCAGAAAAACATTTGTAAATCGATGCAGCTTTTCTCATTGACTAGTTACATAAAGGGTGATACAAGCCTACAGGATATTGTCTTTTATAAATCTTAATAAAATAATTTAGATATATTTTTTAATGACAGTTTTTATGGGAAGTAATGACTAGGAGGTATAAGGAAATTTTTATTTATGTAGTGTATTAAGTTTACCGGTATTTGATCGTAATTAAAAATATACAATCTTTTACTTGCTATACACTATCATTTCCTACTTCACCATCATCAATTATTTACCTCATTATCCATTCACTATTACCACCATATATCAGATACACCATACCATCGACTAAACCCACCCAGAAATAAATTAAAACATCGTAACTTTAGGTTTTTCATTCATACAGCATAGCACTGAGAGAAGAGGAGTTAAACCAGAGGCAAAATAAGCATATAACTACATTATATCTAGAAAATACAATTATCTATGTACAGTATATTTATGGGTGTGAAAAACTTCCCATTATTTGTACATTAGTTGTATTACCTCATTAGGGAGTTTGGTCTTGATGATGTAAAGTATAAGAGTGTTTTAACTAGCTGGGTGTGTTATTGTGATGGTTGGTTAAGTTGTGGTGTTTGTGTGAATATATTTAAGGTCCTCGGTGTACTGTATTAATCTCTGAAGTATGATGATTTAACCCCTTGAGTATGATGATTTAACCCCTCAAATATAATACTTTAACCCCTTGAGTATGATTATTTAACCCCTTGAGTATGATGATTTAACCCCTCAAATATAATGCTTTAACCCCTTGAGTATGATGATTTAACCCCTCAAATATAATGCTTTAACCCCTTGAGTATGATGATTTAACCCCTTGAGTATGATGATTTAACCCCTTGAGTATGATGATTTAACCCCTTGAGTATGATGATTTAACCCCTCAAATATAATGCTTTAACCCCTCGAGTACAATAACAACTCCTTACTAATGGACAGATTGGGTTGGTTCCCACTTGACCTGAAACAGTGAAGACTTCAGAATAAAATCATTAGGCTTTAGTCAGATAAACTAGAAGGAACTAAAGGAAAGATACATTTTCTTATATGACAGTAAATATTATTATTACCGGAATTATTATTATTAACAGTTAGGTTGTATATAAATGTGTGTGGTTGTAACTTATTATTATTAAGGCCAGTTAGGTTGAATTATATAACATGTGGGGGGTAGAAACTTTCATGGAGCCGGTAGCCTCTAACAGACATACAGTATTCGACGAGTCATGCAGAAGGCCGTACTTCAGGGTAAACCAGGAAGGACATGGTGGTGCCGGTGTGGCTCACAAGGCCGGCGGCTGGTTGGGGGAGGAGGAGGAGGTCTGCTTAATGTCACTTCCCCTACATCAGTCATGCTATACTCAGTCTCTATCGGCTGGCCAGACTCTCAATAGCAGGAAAATTGGGACCCCCCCCAGTGCTAATTTGTTGTGTCTGAGTCTTGGAGTGTTAATTTATACGACGCTCGATACTCTGGCGAAGTCAAGATAATTTACGTCTGGAAGAAAACACTTGTGAAATATTTAATAAGTGATGTAACTTAGAAAAGATCATTTGTTATTTGTACTTCTGACTGTGGCGCTGAACGATACGAAAAATATTGTTATTTTCAAGAGTCGAATATATTACACCACAAAAACAACAGGAAATAATTATAACAGTAATTACAGGTGTAGCATTACTGTACTGTACCTGGTGTAGCAGTACTGTACCTGGTGTAGTAGTACTGTACCTGGTGTAGCAGTACTGTACCTGGTGTAGCAGTACTGTACCTGGTGTAGCAGTACTGTACCTGGTGTAGCAGTACTGTACCTGGTGTAGTAGTACTGTACCTGGTGTAGTAGTACTGTACCTGGTGTAGTAGTACTGTACCTGGTGTAGTAGTACTGTACCTGGTGTAGCAGTACTGTACCTGGTGTAGCAGTACTGTACCTGGTGTAGCAGTGCATTATGTGACAAACATCCTCACCTCACACATCCAAACAAGAAGATTTTGCTGTCGGGTATTGATATTATTGATCTATATCGTCCCTTAAGGAAGACAAGAGACAGTAATTATTACGTACTAAAGATAATCGAGCGAGTCATCATGAACGGTGATCTGCTGAGAGGTGCGCTGTCCTTAATGGAAGGGACAAGTCAGACCATCGGCTACCGTGTCCGCCTCAGAATGCAGCACATCCTCAAAGACGTCGCTGAACTGGCCTATGAACGACCGCAGTTTTTCGCCGACGTCCCCCCTCCCCCGTTACTCGTAGGAAAAGGTAATTAGCATTTACCTGTGAGTCTTTATATATTCTTTTGTTTAGACCATCAGAGAGAGAGAGAGAGAGAGACAGAGGAAAGAATACCGTCACAAAAGCAAGGTTGACAGACACACACACATACAATAGATAATTTTTTTACATTTTTTCAATCTTTTATATAAAAAATTTGTGTATTTTTCAATTATTTGTACATTTTTTTTGTCTATCTCAATCTTTTTTGGTTTTTTTATAGTATAGTATTTCAATATTTTTTTTTTTCATATCTTTCAATATTTTATACATACAGATAATCCAATTGATGTGTTGTCATTCTCTCTATGTATCTATTTACTCATCTCCTCTACTCCCTCTTTTGTTAGGGATGGAGCGAGGGAGTCAGGAAGCTGGGGTAAAGGGAGGAAGTGGGATGGAGAGAGAGAGAGAGAGAGAGCAACACCATATAGCTACAGTTGACAGGATGGTGATAAGTAAACACCTGGAAATGAACCATAGGTGTTTATATTATCCTGTTAGGTTAGGGTTTGGTTAGGTTATGTTAATACGGTATTTTTATTACAGTAACGTGAATTAAACTGGAATATCAAGTTATGTAATCGTTCTCGGGAGTTCTGTAGCGATTAACTGTACGGGCACCGAGGATCCACTCTGAGTGCTGTACAGTATTAGGGTCGACTGTTAGTGCCCCTTGTGGTGAAAATAATGTTCGTGTTTTGAGGGTTAGTTTAGGGTATGGTGTGTTATGGTGGTGTGGTGTAGTAATATTGTCTGTGTACTGTATTCCTGTGTGTGTGTATTGTTCTGTATATATGTGCGTGTGTATGCTGTATGTGTGTATTGTGTGTGTGTATGCTGTATGTCTGCTTTATATCTGTGTGTATGTATTTATGTGTCTACTATAAATATTTGTGTCTCTCTATCTGTCCACAATACAGTTTGACCTCAGCCAATCAGGGTCAAAGGTCAAGGTCACTCAATACGTATATATTTTTTGCCTCACTGCGATTGGTTCTTGTTATCGTGTTTATTTGTGTAAGGATCTCGTTGAGTCTTGGTCGAGTAATAGGGTTTGTTAATGCTCAGGGAGATTCATTATTATATTGATTAATTGGTTTGTGTGTCAGAGGTTGGCATTGAGATTATTATTTTATCAGTAGTAGTAGTAGTAGTGGTAGTAGTAGTAGTAGTGGTAGTAGTGGTAGTTGTAGTATAGAGGGTGTGGGTGTCAGACCTGTATATATTAGCTGTGTCTTAATCTATGTGTTTATTTTGGGTGACAGGTGTTAGCAAAGGAAACACCGTGAATACCAAGATAAAACCACACTCACTTACTCACACACTCACTCACACACTCACTCACTCACTCACACACTCACTCACTCACTCACTCACTCACTCACTCACTCACTCACTCACTCACAGGACCCCAGGGAGAACCGATCTACTATGGACGCGGTTAAAACATCAGTAACTAAGGTCTCGTTTAGCTGAGCATCACCTTGAAAGAAACAGACTTACCCTGAGTTCTGCTTTAAACATAACCTCAGATATTTTGACCAGATCCTTGCGTCTCTCTAGTGTTTACGTTTACTTAATGAATCTACGTTCGTTGTTAATAAATCTGGTTCTTCTTTAATCGCTCGTATCGTGTATTTCGACCGGGGAGTTACTGTGCCGAGATCATTACTTCTCCAGGACTAAACCTCGAATAAAATTGATCTTCCTGAGTTGTTGTTCTCTCGTAGTCGTGATGTATGGGGAAGTTAGAGCCATTGTGAGGAAGACAAAAGGTAGAGAAAGAGTCTATTTCCCCCCTCCCCCCCCTTTGTGTCTCTTGTACTGGGTATTTACTTTTCTTATGTCTCTCACTTCAAGCACTAAGAGTTGTGATTAACTGGTTGTAGATTGTGTTGTAATTTTTCCTCCATTATTACAAGTCTTCTCTGTTATATGAGTGAGATGTTATAGTATCACCCCCAGTGCCTTCCTTCATACTTGGTTTGTTGACTCCATTTAATGCAGGTTCCTTTGTCACCAAGTTAGGCCTGGTAGTGAGGAAGTGTTACCAGTAAGACAAACATGGAACACAACTGCTTTATGAAATACTCTGAAGAATACTCTCACTGTGTATGTAATCACCCAGAGTACAGTGGGCGTAATAGATGTACGGTCTTGGGGATTTTTGTCGACATTTATCGGATTGATTTTTGGTGACAGAAGCCTCCTCACTCTCCCAATACTCCGGAGAAGCCAGCACGGAGACTTTTGGTTAAAATCTAAAACTTGGTCGACGTCGATGAGTTATTATTGTGTTTGACGTGTAGGCCGGCCGTCCATACCCGGTGCCAGTCATTAATAAACTTGCTTCGTCCACAGATGGTCCGCCCCCAATGCCGCCGATGCCCCCCGGCCCTCCTCCGTGTACCACCATGGCCAATCCCGCCCCGTCGACCAGTCAGGGACCACCCAACATGGCCATGGGCGGGATGATGGCCCCACCTCCTCCACCGGGGACCACGGGACCTCCAGGACCGCCCCCGCCACCTCCCGGAGGACCAGTCATGCCCGCAGACTACCCAAATGGAGGTCAGTTGTGTTGTCGTCAATGCCACGGTAGAAAGTTGACAGATTTGATTGAAATAGACCAGTTACTGCATGGGTCTACAACTCAGCGTAGGGGACTGCAGATTTTAATGCGTCGGTAATCTGTGTGAAGTATATAGTGTGTGGGAATGATCAGTACTGTATCTTGTTGTTGTGGATGTACTACAGGAGACAACATGACTCAATACTTCTGTTCCAACAATAAGAGTGAGTCAAGGTAGTATTTTGTGTGTAGGTTTTCCTCCCCAACTTGTAAGACTTGTAAAAAATATATATTAAAATGAATTAGGAAAGTAGGATGGAGTGGTGTGTATGTGTCTGTCTGTTATATGTGTGTGTATGAGTGTTATGTGTGTGTGTGTGGTGTATTTGTGTGTGTATGTATGAGTGTTATGTGTGTGTGTGTGTCTGTGTGTCAATCAGTCAAGGTTGCAGAAAGAAATTTTATATTACCTTTATTTCTAGTTTTGAGTTTGAAGAGAAAAATAAATATTGTAATAGTGAAACATGATGAAATAAAATAGGTAAATTCAATAGCAAGTAAAGGTTTTAGGTTGAGATGTGAACCAATGTCTTAACAGTGTAGTGTAGGAAGGTAACTTCAAAAATTAAAACTTGTGTATTTTATATATGGTGTTTTGTTACAGTTTTAGGTTTGAATTGTTATAAAGTTAGATATTACAGTATAGATACATAACTATCAATCATTTACAGAAGAGTAATACAGTACTGTACCTTTGAGGACAGATGTTGCCCACTGTTGGTTGTTAAGGGGGGAATTATTTACTCTACTTGTGATACTTAGATTATTAAACCCCTTAAGTTTATGGTTGAGTTACCCCTTAGAGTTATACCCCCAGTTAGGCCCTGCCCTTGGCCCACACAAAGGGGGCCTGAGGTGGCATTCTTCACCCCATTACCTTATTGAGACTTTCCCCATATTAATTATTCTCAGGACTGATTACAGGTATGATGGGCCCTGGTCCTATGGGGATGGGGCCCGGGATGGGACCAGCGATGGGCCCCGGGATGATGGGCCCCATGCAGGTGACGGTCAACCCCGCGACCAACGACGCCCCGCTGGAGTTCAACACCAACAAGAACAAACCTCCCATGCCCGTAGCAGCTAGTAAGTTGTGCACGACCTTCTGCCACTATAACATTAATGTGTCAGGTTCTCCGACCATATTATTTATAACTTATCTCTGTGGACGAGTGATATTCAGAGTCACTTTACATCTCTTAGCTAATTACTAAAACACACACACTGTCTGTCGTTTAGGATTATTCAGTAAGTTTACAGTCTACACCCAGTCAGGTCCTGAAGAACACAGTAAAATGTATTTCTTTACAATACTGTACTGTCTCTTGTTAACTTTGAGCTGCTAGACTTGATAATGTATCCAAATTCTGTGTTTTTATAGGGCTACACCTCTCACCTACACCTCTGAATTATTATATACATATTTAAGTAGACATAACACTGATATTTAGGCCTATTAACATAATATAAACATCTCTTGACTTAAACACACATTGGCTCCATAAGATAAGTACAGTATATCATGTTACTTTGGAACCTCTCATGTATACTCCCCAATGTGGTTTATTAGTTATGTATACACCCCATGTGGCTTATTTCTCATGTATACTCCCCAATGTGGCCTATTAGTCATGTATACTCCCCTCTGTGGCCCATTACTCACCGTCTGTTGTTGTTTGTACACAGATAACGGCGAGATAGTGGACAACAGCATCCAGGAGTCGCCGATCATCGTGGAGGAGAGGCGTGAGAGAGACAGGGAGAGAGACCGCGACCGGGACAGAGACCACGGGAGAGACAGAGACAGAGACCGGGAGAGATCTCGTGGTAGAGACCGGGATCGTGACCGCGACCGTGACCGTGAACGGGACAGGTGAGGAACGGGGTGGGGGGGGGTTGGATTTGGGGGTTTGTTTTTATTGAATGACAGAGAGATAGAGAGAGGGAGAGAGATCAAATGAGAGTCTTTTGTTAGTCTTGTTCATGGCCGTCGCTGTCCTCCTCTGTGATGGGACCAGATCTTGTTGGTGTGTGAGCCGATGTAGTGTAGTAACTGATATAATGTTAAATAATAATAATAAATGTTAAATAATAGTAATAATACAGTAATGCCGATAATAACAACAAAATCATCTCCAACCAGGGACTGTGACAGAGACCGGGAGAGAGACCGAGAAAGACAGGATCGGGACAGAGACCGAGACCGCCGACGAGACCGACCCCGAAAGGACGGCGGTGGAAGTGGTCGCAGTAGTGTGGACAGCATGCCTGCGGGGAACGGTCAGTCGCTGAGATGATTCTTTTCGGATATTGAGGTGGACGAAGTATTTAATTGGGTCTCGTTTTATGTTGGAATTTATACCACAGTGAACGAAAGTACTTGGATTTATTGTATTTGTTGTTGTATTTTGAAGTGTAGTGCATATAGTGACCAGCCATATAGGAGATAGTCATGGCAGGATGGAGGAGGAGGGGGTTATATTGTTATTGGTCATGATTTTTAAATGTGATCGTATTGTGGACTCAGTTTGGGGGTTGATAGTGGACTTAGTAGTGTGGATGATAGTGGACTCAGTAGTGTGGCTCATAGTGGACTCAGTTATGTGGCTCATCCTGTAATACCTACACCACTGAAACACCATCTGATAGATCCTGGCCTCAGACCTCTCCACCATGTTTGATATCAAGAGACGAAGCATTAGAAGTCTGTGTTTAGTATTCTACAGCACGTTGTCTCCCTCTACAGGAGATATGATTCATTACTCTGTAGGAATACCCAGTTGGTTTTGGAGGCCGTGAGACTGAAAATCCAAAGAGTATGTTTACAAATATTCTGAACCCTGTTGGTCATAAGAACATTGAACCTTTGGTAATTCTTAGCCACGACTTAACATTCAGGGTTTTTATACACCGTGGAATTTGTTTTTAGCCGTTTTGAATTTTAATGTGTGGAAAAAAGTTAATATTTAAATTATCATCAGATGGTTGAGTCTAGTGGTGATGAGGCAGGGGGTGAGTGTACGACTTCGCTGAGGGTGGAGCAGAGGTTATGTGTTCACTGCTAATTTCAGTGACTTTGTGTACTGTACTGTACTGTACTGTACTGTACACTATTCATATTTCATAAGACACTTCTATTAAATTCTCAGAGGCAGTTGTTGGGTCACCCTCGTGTCACCACAGTGGTAGCCCCACTTAGACCAACTTTCCTCCGTACTAACCTGTGTTTTCCCGGGTTGGGGATACAGGTGTCTGGTGTTGGACCCCAGTTGGGTTTGTCAGGGGATCCACATTAAGCGAGTCTGGGTTAGAGGGAGTTTACTACAGTGTTATTATTTCTGAGAGATAGATATTTATTTTATCATAAAAGCTGTAGGGGAGGATAATAGTGATATATTACACACTACTGTACTGTGAGTCACTACTTAGTTTCTTTAATTGTAATGTGGTTTATTGTACTACACTATTTTGGTGTGTGTAAAGTTTTGGTGTGAGACAGGACTGTGTGTAGTAGAGTAGTTTGGTGTGATTAATACTGTGTTGTTGTCCTGCAGGTAACACACAGGTGCAGGCCATGGATGGTAACAACCAGTCTGGCTCTGGCTTTGGCCCCATGGGTCCAGGACCAGGACCATGGGGACCCATGTGGGGCCCTGCTGGAGGACCTATGGGTCCATTGGGGCCTATGGGACCAATGGGAGGCCCAATGGGACCAATGGGACCAATGGGTGGACCTATGGGGCCCATGGGACCAATGGGGCCAATGGGACCACCAGGTGAAGGTCCCCCTATGGTGAGTGTTGACGAGGTGTGTTTACCTTTTACTGTATACTGATAACACACACACACACACACACACACACACACACACACACACACACACACACACTCACACACACACACACACACACACACACACACACACACACACACACACACACACACACACACACACACACACACACACACACACACACACACACACACACACACACACACACACACACACACACACACACACACACACACACACACACACACACACACACACACACACACACACACACAAGGTCAGATACATCAACATAAGCGTCACAATGTTTTAACACACTTTATTTTATCTTGATAATATTGTTGACACACTTCAACTAGCCAGTGCAGCAGCCTTCATTATAAGGGATCTAGCACAGTACAGTGTTATCATTGACGTCATACCATTATTGTCATGACCTATAAATACTATACAAGGAAAGTCTCATTCACTCACTATTAACTGTTTATGATAAGGGCAACTTGTTCTCCTCACCCCCCCTCTCTCTCTCTCTCTCTCCCCCCACCATTATAACCAATTACTCTCCCCATATTAAAACAATCTCCAGCATTAATAGTCCACCTGTATATTATTTACACATCTTCTAAGGCCTCTCATCATATATAGATAATTATTGATATTTTAGTTCATTATTTAACAAACTTACAAAGATGGTGGGGTATAAAAAATTAATCCCTTATCTTCTTTGTCTAAATCTTTATTAAATTTAGTACAGTATAGTTATAATGCCATGCTATATTGTACAGGTTATTTTAATACATTTTATGAGGAGGAATATTATGTTTGGTTGAGATAATATAGCACACAATGTTGGTCTGTATCTGTACATATTATTTATATTGTTACCTTCAATACCACACACACACACCCTAGGGAGGTCTACTCTCTCTCTCAGCTGGTAGTGACTATAACACAGCACCCTCTAGTAGCTTTCGAATCCAAGACATGAACCCGTGAACCCGTGACATGAACCCGTGAACCCGAGACATGAACCCGGTGTACCATCTAGAGACCCCAACAATGTGTGATATCTCGGATTCACTGGTTCACAAGTCTCAGAGTTCATGGACGGGAGAGAGAGAGAGAACTGACGGGACATTTTTTTTTTGGTAGGTGTACAACTGAACTTAATTCTGTAATCAGTGAGACTTATTTCTCTCAATTATACACAGTAAGGGACTAGTTGATGGAGTCAGGTGTGAGTTAGGTATTCTTTTATGGGAGTAGGTCTTGGGGTGGACTACACGGCAATGTTCTTTATTAATTTTCATCTTTAATTTGTTTATTTTTTGTGATAGTTTTAGTTACCTGTTAGATTTACTTAACCACCCACGATCAGGTGTGGGAGCCTAAGGTTCTAAGTAGGTACCTGGGCAGTGTTTTATTACCTCAGGGGATAATGACTCTTGTCTCGTCAGCGAAGAGAATAGTTGGTAGTCCTAAGTATAATCAGTTCCCACTCATAATAATCAGTTCCCACTCATAATACCCAGTTCCCACTCACAATACCCAGTTCCCACTCACAATACCCAGTTCCCACTCATAATACCCAGTTCCCACTCACAATACACAATACCCACTCATAATACCCAGTTCCCACTCACAATACCCAGTTCCCACTCATAATACCCAGTTCCCACTCATAATACCCAGTTCCCACTCACAATACCCAGTTCCCACTCACAATACCCAGTTCCCACTCATAATACCCAGTTCCCACTCATAATACCCAGTTCCCACTCATAATACCCAGTTCCCACTCATAATACCCAGTTCCCACTCATAATACCCAATTCCCACTCATAATACGCAGTTCCCACTCATAATACCCAGTTCCCACTCTGTAAATGTGGGATGGTGTTAGGCACAGGTTACCCAGTCATAAAACTTGGTAGTACTAACTGACTTGATGGCAGCCGTGACATCTTCTGCCATCAGGTAACGACAGCTAACCCTCATAAGTGTGGAAAATTATTAAACTGTGATGATGATGATGATGATTAGTATGTATAGTGTAGTTAGGGAGTGTCCATTTATACAACCATGATTGGTGTGTGTGTGTGTGTGTGTGTGTTTTTTTAGCAGTTGACCCAGAAAGATATTTTTGTGGGGACCTTGTTCTGGATGAGATGCACCATTGCAGAGTTTGTGTTCCTGCAATAAGAGTGGATGAATGAATGGCAGTGTGTGAGGGGTGTACATACTTGATTCAATCTATTCAACATTATTAGAGGAAAAGATTTAAAAGAATGAGAAAAATATATATATTCATATTTGACTATTTTAGAAACATTATGAAACAAGATCTACTTTATTGATTAATCATTATCATCATCATCATCTTTTATAAATAATGTTAGTAGTAAAATATATAATAAGTTGTAGTAATTTAGTGAAAGAGAATCTAGTTAAGTTTGTAATGGCTACTTGTGGAAATATATCATTGACGATAAACTATTGACTCGATAGAGCGGCGACTTCCGGATCACTTGGGGAATGTTTGGCTGGATGATGTCCCCCGAGGGCCTCACCGTGCCCATGAAGAATCCTCTCCACTGTAAAACCTGCGTCCTGGTGCCGCCCAACCGCCTCGCCCCTCCACCTACCACGAGAGAACGACCGTTAGGCTGTAGGACTATCTTTGTTGGCGGCCTACCAGAGAACGTAACAGGTGAGATATATTATACAGTACTGTACTCGTTATCTCTGTTCACACAATGGGTAGATGTGTTATTGTGTGTTAATATATAAAGTACAAGTTGTGTATACTGTACTGTAAGTTATTCAGTGTTGTTTATACTATAGGTAATAATGTTTCTTCATAACTCATTATTTTGTGTCGTATGAACATGAATTTTTATCTAGTTTTTTATGTCTTATTAATAATGTATTTTTTTACTCAACACAAAATAGTTAAATGGTAAATTAGTTTATCATAGTAACAAGAAAATTCCACTAAACAGTTTAATAGTAAGTTTATTTATGATATTAGTAATAACTCCCAATGCTCTATTAAACTAAAAAAAAAAATAGTAATGGTTTCACAATAAAATGCAGCTGCCTGTGTATGTGTGTGTGTGAAACAATGCCATAACTCGTGACACGCTGAAGGTCGTCATCAGAGGCAACTTTCTCCCTGGGACGGGCTGGTGTGACCTTGTGTTATCCCCGCTCACATTGTATGCACAGCCCACTCCACCCTTTCTCCCCACCCACACATGCACACCTATCTCTAGAACCATGTGGGCCAAGGTCAGACCACTTATATTACCCAGCTTTCTCTATGCGGGTAGCTAGGTTACCACCACAGATCAGTCTTGTGTTTTAAGTGAGTCGGGAACAAGCATGGGCGCTAGTGTTTGTGTTGCAGTTAACTCAGTGCCGTGATCTGCAGTACATTAGGAGTGCATTTTGTGCATTAGATCCCCGAGGCTCACAACCCTGTTCCTGACTCGATATTTGTGACCACAGATCCTGCCTCTGAGTATCACATGGTATTTGTCCTCATCATTACACACAGCTCAGTAATAAGTACCTAACATAGAGAGCCACTGGTATGTGTTAATTGGTCTGGAGGTGATCAGAGTAGAAGAGAAAGTACCGTCGTCAACCGGGTGGAGTCTGTCGCGCAGATCAGTATGCGTGAACTAAAACGTTTCGTTCCAGAGGAGATTGTCCGTGACGTCTTCGAGCGCTGTGGAGAAATCACCACCATTAGACTGAGCAAAAAGAATTTCTGCCACATAAGATATGAACTGGAAGAGTTTGTGGACAATGCCATCTTCCTGTCAGGTAAGTAGTGATGATTAATACTCACAATATTACTTCACATTATTATTATTGATGCTCCAGTACTCACACTAAATATTTCAACTGTTATTCCTCCTATTCTATGATTGTGTTTCAATACAGGACAAACCTTTATTCACATTATCATCTCTCAGGAAATGTTTTCATTCTTGTGGTCTAGATTTTGTTAACTTTTTCTTGATCACTTTAAAAGCAGATCACACAGCTGTCTTGACTTAAACACCTGAAATAAACTCCTTCATGGTTGTATTAAAGCACACACACACACTTATTTGGTTATTATTATACACCATACTCGAACGCATTACTTTGAGAGAACATAAGAGTGAGATACAAGAGAGATTAATGCCTTTGTTTCTTGCAGGATACAGAATGCGGATTAATAACAGCACGGAGGCGGCCAACACGGGTCGTCTACATGTGGATTACGCCCAGGCCAGAGACGATCAGTGAGTGCGGTCGTTGATGTTTGTAGAGTATCTCGTTTGTGTGCTAGTACAACTTATTAGATTTTTTTGGTGTTGTCTTCTTTAGTCAACCTCTCAAGTTCGTTTTTGTGTTTTTATTAGTAGTAGTGGTAGTAGTTGTTGCAGTAGAAGTATTATTATTATTAGTAGTAGTAGTAGTAGTTGTATAAATAGTGATGGGAGAAATCAAGTCAATGTTTTAGTCAGATCATTTCACTGTGGTGCCCCTTGAACTCATGGAGCCAGGGAGTTCCACACAGTTTTGGTCCAGGGTGTAAAGAAGTGTTGGTAAGGAGAGGTTCTGGTGAAGGAGGATGCATGAAGGTGGTACTACTGAGGGTGGCTAGTTAGAAGATTGACCGCGTGAGTGTACGTTGATTAGGTGAAAGGCTGATTTATTTCTTATGCAATGTTGGATATATTGTGAGCTTATTGTTGTTTGTTTTGATGGCACTTGACTTAATATTGATGCGCTCTACTAAATTTTGATGCACTCGACTAAATTTTGATGCATTCGACTCGATATTGATGCACTTGATTTAATTTTCATGCATTCGATTCAATATTAATGCACTCAACTTAATTTCATTGGCACCTGGTTCAAGTAATTATCGGTAAATATTAGTTTAGATGCAGCATTGTGTGGAGAGGTCTTTGTGACTGCACAGTTTATTGAAGAGTGACTTTACCTCTTGTGAAGTAATGGGGATGACCCAGGTCTCTCTATGGGTCTTTATTGTGTCGGGAGAAGACTTACAGCAATGGATCAACAATAGTAAATGGAGAGTTTGTATATGTTCTTGATATTTTATTATGACAGAAAATGCTTGAAAGTTGGGGAGGAAAATGATTGCAGTTGCTTGTTAATGTTTGGAGCAGACTCGGAGGTGGTAGTGTAGTGTAGATCCCTAGTTTTTGTCGTACTCTTTTATCTAAATACAGTACAATGTTAGTGCAAGGATATGTTCATACCTTTTACTGTTAATACATTAAGTTTGTCACAGTTCACGGCCAAGAGTTCATAATTTTGTGTCTCAGTTCACGGCCAAGATTTGATGAACTTCCAAATGACAGATATGAATGGGAGTGTCGACAGAGGCAGCTACAGCGGGAACAGCGTCACCGCGAGCGCATCGAAGCGGAAAGATTACGTCCGCCGTCCCCTCCGCCCGTAGTCCATTATTCCGAACACGAAGCGACTCTCATCGCCGAACAGCTAAAAGGTTGGTTTTGACTCCAAGATTTATGATTCACTTTTTAGCTTGCATATACAAGTTGAGGAAGTGAACGAGCATCTGTTAATATATTTGCTTGTTGTCTTAATACTTCCCATAGTTATTTTGCACCATTCTCTTTATTGTTTCTCTCGTGCATCGGCGTCTCTGTGATTCACCCAGACAGTGGTAGAAGAGGTGTAGGGTATATTTAGTTACAGTACTACATTATATTATCCATAAATTAGTAGTTATGGTTCACACTCTTATTAGATGAAGTTGCTGACAATTTTCGCTTCAATTGTGGACACAGGCGATGATACCTTCTCCAAGGCTGCCCAAATTCTGATCACCTGGCTGGAGCGAGGCGACTGCAGCAAGCGTAACGCCGGCACCTTCTACGGCATGATACAGTCCACCAACTCCCACGTGCGGCGGCTGATGACCGAGAAGGGACAGTACGAAGAGGAGCTGGCAAAGTTCCGGGAACAGACGCGGGCCAGGATGCAGGGCGTCATAATGCAGTGTGAGTGACCATTGTGACGTGTAGTTTACGGCTCCACTTTACGTTAGGTCTCGCTGATAGATAGGGAAGTATGGTGCTGTAAAACATTACATTAACAGATTCATTAACTCCATTATTGAGAAGAAAAACAAACAAAAGAGTAACTTTGTTTTATGGTACAGTATATGTCATATTGATTGAGACAAATTCTTGCCCTGATAAGTTGAGTTAAAGTTTGTCATTAATTTCTTTACTGTTGATTGTGTAGGTCAGCCCATAGTGTAGAGCACTCCAGTCAAGTTCACAAGTCACAGCGATCACGTGCCCACAGATACGGATACAACTGTTCTGCTCGCACGGTTAACACTTCATAGACTGGAGACACGACTGTTCTTATCACACAGTTAACACTTCATAGATGGGAGACATGACTGTTGTGGTCGCACAGTTAACACAATATAGACTGGAGATATACCTGTACTGTACTAGAGTTAACTAAGGTGTAGCACCAACTAGAATACCCAGATGCTATGAACAGTTTGCAGCGGTTGATGAGTAACAACAGGTATAGTAAACATAAAGAACAAGGAGAGATTAGTTAGAGTCACTGAGGCAACATCACTCTCAAAATGTTTTTAAAAGACTGTACTACTCTATTGGAATAACCGGTCAAGAATAATGAGTGACGCGCTGTTTGCCGCTCGTGCAAGAGAAGCGCTCGTGAGACATGACAAATCTTAACGGGTGGATGGTGAGTTGAGTCGTGTACATGGCGGCGGGGGATGACCTGGCGCGAGGCATTATCAGTTTGTACAGTATACTATTACCAATAATTTTAAGTGAGCTTTTTCCAGCTTTCGCGTAAGGAGCTGAACCAAAAGTGAGTATTCTTGTCATACACTCAAATACCATACATTGTATTTGAACCATGATAAGCTTAAGTGGTCGGTAGAACCTCGCTTATCCCCCATAGTTCTCGCTGGATAAAAACAATATCTCCCTCGGTGGCGACGGTCTTTTGGGGCCGTCAGTCACCATTTGCTATTTCTTGTTTTTAATCGTTGGTTTTGTGGGATGTTGAATGAACTATTGTCACAAGTACAGTAACTGCTGATCAAACACAAAGGTTAGGAAAGATGATGCTTAACCTTCAGCTTGTACCTGCCTAACACACTCTTCTTGTTCCTGCCCTGACCTACCCAACACACCCTTCTTGACCTCCCTCTCATATAACTAGTATTAATCTCACCTCACATAACAGCCAGCTTATTATAAACTAGAATCACCTTTATTTTGACAAACTTTATAAATTAAGAACATCTGCTGGGTTAATATTTCATCCTACACAACGACCATAAACTTAGGGAAGGAAAAGTTCATTTGGTTTTGATAACTTTTATAGGTTATTGGCGTCTGCCGGGCCAGTATCTCATTCTTCTCCGATATAATGACACGGGGTTGTTTCATCATACGTAATTGTTATGAGAAATCTATACAAAATTCCTTCACAATGTATAATTTTTCTTCATTTATGCATTTTTAACTTGTCCTTTTTCATAACCTCTTCACTAGATGATTTTAGTCAGCTCAGAGGATGACCCCCATACACCATTGGTTAAAAGACGTCACTTCCCTAACAGAATATCTCTCATTTGCCGTCATATTTCTATAAAACAATTCACGTCACTTCCTTAACGACAAAAGATCTGTTTTTCTGGTGCGAGGAAGAGGATAACCGAGGTTGGACTGAATATATATATATATATAAAATAAAAGGTTTCTCAAGGTAAAATATTAGAGCAGTTTTGCCCCTTGTCTGTCTGTCCTGTACTGTATTTGTTTATCAATATATTCTAAATAACCAGAGAATTAAGGATTATATTTTAGCCTTATCTCTTAGAAGAATGGATTTAGATACCAGATTCTAACCCCCTTCATTTCTATCGTGTGTTGGGTTGTCTCGAGCCACTTACAGTCCTCTCCGCTCACGGTAAATGTGTCACTCGACGGAGAATTTAATATCGGAGAAGGATCGTGTTTATGTGGCGCTCATAAAAATAATTCCCCGCTGTTTTGTTTATGGTACTTGTCGGAGTATCATATCTACCTGTGTACTCTTGATCATCTCTCACCTGTAGCCCCTTGAGGACAGTCCTAATTTTCTTTGAGTACTGCACTGTATAATGATTCAACTCCTTAATACGATGACATGACAACTCAAACACAGTGTCTAAACTCTTTGAATATGATGATCTATTCTCTGGAGTACAATGATGAAGTATTTATCACTAAGTCATTGTACTGGAGGGGTTTAAACATTGAACTAACAAAACTACAGGTAATGGCTCCCACTTCAGTATTAATTAGAGAGATATAAAGATTAACTATACACTATCTTGATTTTTTTTTTGTTAATCACTGGTAAAAAGGTTAACATGGTAGTAACACAAACACACACACAGGAATTCCCCCCAGAAATGACCTTTAAAAGTATACATTCATATTGAATTTGTATCCAGCATTAGTAGACTTGCCCCATGGTGTCACCTCGAGCCAACCCCACGACTAACAGTGGAAATGAATGGGTTTAGTCACAAGTTCACAACCATTGGTGAAGTTGTCTCCACTATCTTGATGATTTACCCTCTGTCTTAGTGTTAATAAAGGGACGGATATATAGATTGTGTATACTGCTGTAGTGTGTCATTTAAGATTACTGTAATTATTAAGATTTGCTGTGATTCATTCTTGTTATTTATTTATATTTTTTTAATTGGCTTATTACGTTAGGTTAGGTTACTGCTTGTGTAATTACTTATTCTCCCTGGCTGTGTTGATTGTGGGGGTAAAGGCCATCCAAGGTTATGTACTGTAATGCATTGTGTTATAGACTTTACATATGCATGGATGTAATGCCTTGTTTTAGGGAGAGTTTGGTCAGGGGAACCACTGCACTGTACACATTTTGATACATGCAGAAATATTAACAAAACATCTTAATTCATTATTGTTTATAAACTCGGCTCTGTTTTTTGGGGTCAAATATTTTAACATTTATCTCTTTGATATGTTGAGTACTGTTTGTGTACGTATATGAAGGCTTATCACATACACCAGTACAGCATAAGAGTGTACATTTGTTCATTTGTACACAGCCACATTCACACTAGTTCAGAAACTCATTGGTTACTTCTCATCTCTGGTACTTAGGCAGCACTACTGTACTATAATTGAAGTGGCACGGACAGCTAGTTTTTCATGAAGTCTTTCTTCACTTAATACTGTATAGAGTGGCTGGAACACACACACGTTTTCATTCTTGCTGGTCAGAGGGAAGTTATTATTACTTGTTGTAAAGGTAACCTGACAGACTCCATCAATGTGCTCCCAGTGTCATAAAAAGGTTCAGGACAACACTCTCTTATAAACTTGTGGTGCGAGCTGTCCGAGCCATTTTGATTAAGTTATGCTGGTGTCACGTAGCGGCCCCTGACAACAACCAGTGATGTTTGGGATCATTCTACAAAAGTACACTTATTCTGAATTGTTTATGCGAAGTATTGCAGATGTATAGACTATGCAAGGATATTTGTAAATAGATTGTTGCACATGCAGTTCCTCTTTACACACCAGTGTTGCCGTGTGCAGGCCGGTGTGTGCTGTAGGTGTCAAGCTAATGAGAGAAATATGGTTTTAGCTCTTCAGGAACCAGACTCTCAAGGATTTATACTTCATATTTCTCTATAACTGGTGATAAAGGGATGTCTCCTGTTGGCTCACTTATGCCAGGAGACACAAGTTATCCACTATGACTCAAGTTGTTCCTTAATACAGTAACCAGTGAGTGGAATGACGTATGAATCTTTCAGAATCTGTAAGCCAATGTTTTTTAGTTGGATTAAGGTGGTGACATTGCTGCTGATTGGAATTTGATGTGTAGGTATACAGCTAACTGATGAAAATATGGCTTTAGTTGACACAGTGATTGATTAACATGGTGCTCGTGTAGTGGGTAAGGTACAGGGAGGCAGGTAATTGTGTCCCCCGCTGGACCCTTATCTGTTCTGTGTCCCTCCACCACTGCTACAGTGCCTGCTCAGAATACACCCATCCAGGTGTAGTATGTGTGTATCAGCCTCACTCCTACCCCACCCCACCAGCTAACACCACTGCCCTTCTACTGTAAATGATAAGAGAGGTCACCAGTTGATTAGTTTTAAAGTTGGGTCGTCGTGCGAGTCTCGGGAGTGGTGGGTGTTGCGGTGCGGTGTGGTAGGAGCGAGACAGCCTCCCATGACCTAGTTCAGTCAGCAGGACAGGCAGTAAGTGTAAGCAGCAAGACGAGGGCTCACGACACTGCGGCTCAGGGACGCAGGGTACACTCCCGGCTCTGCTACTCCTATTGACCATCAAATGTTTCTTCCGCCACTCAGTCGGTCAGATCGAGCGTGTCTTCCTGTCAGCCGGTCACCAGAAGGTCTGGGACCACTTCACCAAGGCCCAGAGGCGCAACATTGAGATGTGGAAGAAGCAGGCCGAGGTATGCTGAGCCCCGTGTCCACGCCACTCACGGGCCCTCACCCTCCATGACTGTCACTCGCTCACCTCCGTTCACTGCTTTTTGTGAACTTGTTGTAATATTGGGTTCATGGGGTATGGTTGGCTGCCTCCCGTGAGTGGTGTGTCTTTTGTACCACGTTCAGTAGTGAACTGGTACAAAACATGGGGCTGTTTCCTTGTAATTCAGATCACCTACTGGCAAAGCTTCATCAGGTAATTCATTACAAACAATTCATCCTCTAGTGTAATTAATAATGCTCTCAATATTTTTTATACAACTTAAATTACCTTTTGTTATGGTTCCCCGTTTAGTATAATTACCTTCTTGGTTTGAGTTACATAATCTGAGGCCTGGCATGGGGGAGGGTAGAGGGGGGGGGGATGAGTGACTAACTAGGCTACAGTTATCTTGTACAGTATCAAGTCTAGGGTTCTGATGGTCAAACATTCTTCTCTTGTAGCTAAAGGTGTAAAAGTTCCCCTAAATGTTTGATTATAAAGTACAACACAAAAATAACTTCAAAAATTAGCATCAGACTTACACTTGAGACTCTACCTGGATTGGACATGGTCACGTAGTAACAGCACACAGCCAGACAACCTCTGTGAGTTGCTGATGATACCAGAAATGGGCGGAACTTAGTAGTGTGGTTAATATGTACTTGAGACTGCGTGTGTGACTTGTGACTCTCTGGTTGAAGATGTGAGGCAGCAATTGAGTGAGATGTGTGTGTGTGTTACAAGTTGGTGAATGAACAACCTTAGTGGCTGGAGGTCTTTGATGACACGGTGGTCGAGGAGTGATGGTACTGTACATTGTGGGTTGTGTAGGAACCTTGTCTGGGGAAGATGGAAGACCGAATGGCCTCCGAGTCCTGACATTCGCTACTAAAACAAAACAAAATGAATCTTAAATAATAATAAAAAAACTTTACTTCATACTATCATACTGGACATTAGTCAACAAGTGTGATTATTTTATTTCAAAGTTTTTTACATACATGAACCACTTGGTGTAAATTAGATTAAACTTGATTGATGGAGAACAAGAGGTGTTAGTGTTTGGTAAATAAGTTGTGAATGTACTTATGTTTAGGTTATGATAAATGACCACAAACTGTCTCCTCCATCCTGGGCCTGAGATTAGCCAACTCCTTAACTGAGGTTCTGTGACCCCTTCAGGATTATAACTTGTAATGGCTGTTAATATTTTCTCTTTTAATTATCTTATTCTTATTCTTCTGTAGAAAGATTCAGTGATGTGATTATCAGTTATGGAAATGAAACCCATGTTATAAGATGACTGTTTTTAATATAATGGTGACTATGTTGTTGGCTGTCTATCCATTAAGTTGTGAGTACTGTACAACTCCATCTGTCTCAAGACCTACATAGCTCAAGTCTACATTGCCCCATTGATACCATTACAATTTAACCCAAAGTACTGGGGGAGGGTGGGGGGACAGGGACACTAAATGTATCTTAAACTTAAAACTGATCTTCATGTTATTGTAACTTGTATTCCCGGACACTTTATCTTAGTCTTGTAATGTAAGTTCTGTGCTTAACTCACTGTGTATACATTAAATACTTGTGGTCACTGAGGGAGGATTTATAGATATCTGTGAAGTAACCATTGTGTGAGGTTCGAGACACAGAGCCTATCAGGTATAGAGTTACCATACTCGAGGTAGGCCCACCAGGAGGCCCATCTGGTACAGTACTCACAGCAGGAAGGGTAGACAGTGGACGTCTTAACTGTATTATGATAGAAGTTTCTCTCTTGTAATTTGGGTTTAAGATCCAATCAATTCTTCTTCATCTCCTCCTCCTCCTTTTTTCTGATTTCTTATCTTATAACTTGTGTAATTGTCAAGTATTCTCTATAGCTTCCATTACTTCCTCTTGTTGAAATTAATAAGTTGTTTCCCTTTTGATGGTAAGACTATTTTGGTTAGCTGTGTTGAGTACTGTAGTGTAAATACCATGTACAACTGGTCATCAGCTGCAAGTGACAGCCTCAGTCTCTTACCTGTTTGAAGCTTTGCATTAAGAGTGAGCAAAACTTGTGTGATACCCCTTTTTGAATTTGCTTGGAACGTTACACTTTTCTCAATATTGTCATGTATACCTTTGTGGTCTCAAGCACTTTCAAAACGAGCAGACACACAGCTTTGCAAGTGCAATCTAGTTGTCACTATGTATATGCCGACAGGTAAAAGTTGCATGTATTCCTGGAGGGTGAAGTCAATGATACATCCGTGCCGTGCGCATGGGCCTAGATTGGTCATAAGATCCATATTTAGCAATCCACGTGCATGCTGCAGACCCCAGGCTAGGCATGCCTCAAGTTCGGTTAGACTTTTTGGAGAAGTCTCTCGGTAAGACGAAAGCAATGGTTGGAGGAGCACGGTCGCCACGGTGATTGTGACTTGACAGGCAGTAAAAGGACCAATCTGGTGCAAAGCTCAGCATTGCATTCAAGTCTCTCTGTTGCTCTTATTCTCATTCACTACCGCTTTATGATATAGTTCATCTCGTGAGTATTGAACGAATTCTCAACCATGGCATTGCCCATCTGTTATATTTTTAGCTTCTTTAGATAATCTAAATTAGAGATATTAGCTTCCCTCTCCTTGTGAAGACACGATGCCACCCTGAGGATTACCACAAGGTAAGTTCATATTTCATGGCTAAAGGTAAGCTTTCAAGAGGGCATCCATGGATGGGATTCTGCTGGCAGCCGCATCCACGAGCTCAGTTTGGCGTCTCCCTCCGCTTGATTCAATAATGTGTGTTATCTGATGGTGGTCATTGCTGTATATCTCAGGCTGCTAGTGTATTTATTGTCTGTGACTTAGTACAGTAATTGGTTCAAAAGCAATACTGACACTCAGTTGGCTGGCAGTGTCTAAAACAGTTGTAAACTTTTAAGAGAAAAAATTTTTTTAGCAGCAGTTATCAATATTTTTAAAAACCAAAATTTAAGAAGACTCTATTTCATCTGTTGTATGTACACATTATTTTTTTTAGTTTGCAAAATTATGGCTGTTGATGAAGAAGACAACTGTCTAGTTGTTGAAACAGTCTGTGACATTATGATAGATAACCAACCCTCTCTCCCTCCCATCTCACCATTCCTCTCTTACAAATCAGGAATGTCATAAATTAAACTGTGAAATCACAGAAATACAATACAATACCTATCAACAGTCAGATATAAACTATGTGCATTTTTAACTTTTATAGTGCTTAAGGCATCATGGCAGGTTAAGATGGCTCAGTTCAGTCTTGTGTACAGATGTTAATTGTGTTTATATTGGACCAAAACTATAGTGTCAAGTTAATTATGAGTCTTTAAGGTAACCTGCAGCACAAACATTCATCTGGGCGGGGGAAATATGTCTCTCCTCAACCGCCAGTGTCTGTACGTTGTTTTCGGATCACCTTAAACACTCAGAGTTGATGTGACGTCAATGATTCTTGCTCCTATTGACGTACTGTTAACATCTACACACACGCACCGTACCATCTGTGAAGGCCTCAAATGATCTCTTAAACATGCCTCACACTCTCTACACCAGGCTAGTTATTACTATTGGTTGATAAGCTTAAAAATTCCTCTAGATAATAAAAATAAATGCCAAGCTAAAATCACAATGGTTGTTTGCCACGAGACCCGGAAACGTCAGGCTTTGCTCTGGATGCTGCTGTGTCCGTTTGGCCCCAGACTAATTCATATATGTTTCATTGGTGCTCCAGGAGATCAAGGAAATCCAGCTGGATGAATCTGACAAAGAAGACGCTGAAGAAATGGACGTCTCTGATGAAGAGGACTGTGTACCGCCTGCCAGGAAGAAGATGAGACAGACTGAATACCTTAAGGTGAGTCTGCCTCCACACCTGACACAGTTTACAGTGTTCCTGATACCTTAATGTATGGGGTAAGTTAGGTTAGGAATTAAGACATAGGTTATCTTGACACCTTGAATTATTGCACTTACAGAATCTCAGTGTAAATGTTTCTCAAGATTTATACATCTAATAAAATCTTTCAAGGTGTTTCATGTTAAGTTATTGGGTTATGTTGGTACTGTACTGCTCCTGTGCTGGGGGCGGTGGTCAGTAGTTAATAGTGATAAAATGTTTTGGTTGTAGCTAAGTTCAACCACTGTCATGGAAGAATTAATGGGTTGTTGATGCAAGTTATTAATTATATCATTCTTCTATATATTTTAGGCATCTCTATTTTGTTCTGCCTCTTTCCTTCAGCATATTTTTTCAGAGTGGAATTTTTGTTGTTACAATACGAGTAATGTCAATGGTCTCGGAACTCGGCGCCCATTGACTACTTAACAACAGTATCTATGTCTCACGTCTTATCTATATCCTGTACATGTTGTTTATATCAGCTTCAGTTTTTATTTATATTTTCTTTTGACAGGAGGAGAATGACAGCTTAAGGTGTCAGATGGAGGCGTACAAAAATGAGGTCGATCTCATCAAAGCAGATCTGAAGGCCGAGGTGACAGCGAGAGACGACCAGATTGAAGCCTTTAAGAAAACCTTACAAGGGATGCAACAGGTAGTGTACTGTACTGGATCTTGTCGGTATTATTGACGGTGACGGAAGATAATAATAGTCAGGGTAGTAATAGTAAGTTGACGGTGGCTTAGTTGGATATTGAACAGAATTACTTCCTGGTGTTAGAGGTGTAGTCTGAGTTTAGCGACATGGTTAATTAAAAAATAAATACTCGTTTTTTTAGATCGGTATTTTTTGCGTGTTGTCTAGTGTGAATTTCCCTCTGTTGTGTGACTGAATTATGCTCCCTCCTTCTCCAGACCCTCTCGGAAAATGCCGTCCGTAAGCGCCAAGATGACGCAAAGATGGCAGAGCTGCACGCCAAGTTGAAAAAGCTGAGGGAACAAGTGGGAGGCAACGCTGAGGGTGAGGAAGACGTCAAGGATGAATCCGAGGACTTACTCGCTATTCCTACCGCACCGCTCACCGACAAGACAGCTCGACTCAATGGTACGACATGAAGCACAGTTTGGTTATGTTAGGTTAGATTATAAGTTCCTTTAGGTGTATAAGCCTCTGCGGGGTATAGGACTCATCGTGTTTGCTTGTCGTGGGTGTGAGTAAATATGTTTGTATATTTCCTCTGGTTTTTTTGGCTGTAAACTGTTATTCTCTACTTATTTGAGAGACTTAGGATATTGTAGTCACTCATTCTATAGGAAATTATGGTGAAAAAATATGACACAATGTATAAAGGATTTACACATCCCTACCAAGACAACAGGAGTCGCGGCGTTCATTCTGGAATTCATCGATCACCCCAAGGACAGATAGTTTCTTGGGTGACCGTACAGAATTAGGAGAGAGTGAGAGACTATACCGTAGCTAAGAGAGACGGTTACCAAGCTTAAGCCGTTGTGTGGAAGGGGAACACCTAAGGAGAACACATCTTTTACTGCAGTGATAATAGATATTTGTCAGGGTAATAATAAAGGAAAGTCGCTGTGTAATGTCCTTCTGGTTCTAGCTTCTGTATGTTGTGACAGGTAAATGGTTAAGACAGTAAGACAATAATACAGCTGTGATGGTGGACAGTGATCTTAAACTGTTTCAACGAGTCTAACTTAAACTAACTCTTCCGACAGGTCTCACGTCTACGTTCCTACACATACACCCAAAAGGAGCGAGCGTCGACTACATTTGGTCTTTCATCCAACAGTTTGATAAAGAAATCCGTCCTTCAGACATCGAGTCCATGCTGAATCAGTAAGTAATTCTGTGACATTATCTGCAGTTGTTTGTTTGTTATATTTATTTAGTTACAGTGAAACCTCTATTTAGTGGACTACAGTGTATACAAAGAGAGAAGTCCATTATATCGAGGGTCCGTTAGATGTGAAACCTCCATCTGACGGAGATTATGGAGAGAGAATTCCAGTACATAGAGACGTCATTGCTTTAATGAATATGATCGGTGATTCAAAATAAAACATTAATTTTTACCAGGTGTGTAAAGTATTGTTACCTGAAGGGCTGTAGAGTATTGAGGATATTATTATGATATATGGCATCAAAAACATGTAGTAGGGAGATGTGTTGTTATTGGGTATAGTAGTGTGGTCTAGAAATAAATGCTTAGGTAAATGTAGAGAGTTTTAAAAAAATTTCTCCCTCCTTCCTTCCAGGTTCCCCACCGTTTACAAGCAGATTACCACGGGTGTCGGTGCCTGTCTAGAACGCAAGTGGATCTTCACCGGATTTGATTGTGGGACGTAGGAGATTTAACCGTAATAAGTCAGCTCGTGCCACGGTCTTAATATCAAAGTTTCTTAAAAAATGTTGATACAATTTTCACTTTTAATAATAATTAAAGAGTGATAACAGGGTGTTCATAGTTGATGCAAGACTTGTTTTTGGGAGCTGTATGTATGTATGTCTGTGTAAAGAAGGCATTAATTGTGTGTGTATCTTCCTGAAAATTAGTGCCATGCCTAAGGTGAACTCCTGAAATTAAAAATGTTAAAATATATCAGTTGTATTGGCTAGACATGTCATACCAATACATTAATTTTGTACATTTTTATGGGTCAGTTCAGGAGTTCAAAGTTATGACACTAATTTTTTAGATCGATAGACACACTACAAAAATTTCCCCGATACGCACACACACAACTTCCAGAATGAGTGTTGTGTGAACATTAACTCCCTGATATGATCTCATAGTCTCACATACAATAACTGGTGTCACATGTTTGTAATCCTGTTCAACAACAGTGCATATGTTTAGCCCACTGGGGTAATCCTTTTCATTAGATTGTTTGTTGTTTCATAAGTAACTACATTAATAGAGTTCATTTGAAACTGACTGTAGAGTTTTAACATGACTCAGTAGTGTTATTGTACAGTATATGGCAGAACTACTTACTTGTTCATACATCAGAAGTAGGTGATTATATTTTTGGCATCTTGCACACCTGTCGGTGGTTGTCACACAGCGTTCTTCTTGTGGGGGGGGGGGGGTTCTTTTGGCCTGTCTTAAAATAAATGTCCATAAAAAAAAATTTCCATTAATCTTGGCTGACTTCTTGTGTCTTAAAGATTGCCTTAGTGTTACTCTGAACTAAAAATTACTTCACCATCAAGAGTTTTCATCAAAGAAATTTCCAAAGTCATGTTAATTGTAAGTTTTCGAACATAAACTGAGGCCAAAAAGACACCTTGGAGAAGACAGCTGTGGGGGTTCAAGACACACATACACTCATATCACGGCAAAAAGTTCACGACAAAACAGATTTATAGGGAATTTATGTATTCTTGTGATACTAAAGAGTGCAAGGCAAGTTATAGGAATAAATTTATATAATTGTTAAGGGAATAAAATTAGGACAAAAGTGAAGCAAATCTCCACTTATGTACAAGTAATTGATCACCTGAACACTAGACAACCCAGCTTATTTCACCTGATGATTAAACACCTTTAGGTAGTGTAGTGCAGGGTGTTTGAGCTACACCATCAGAGTGAAATAAGATGGGATGCCTAATCTTCAGGTGATCTTAAGTAAACTATACAGTACCTAAAGAAAATTGAGTTAATTATATTTTTTGTGGCAAGACGAAAAGTTTGGGGAGTTTTGTTGTTGTAATCTAGATGACCGACCGCCCTTGTGATAGGCTACTAAGAGCTTTCACTATGTAAGTATTGTTAGTTGTCCTCTGGTAGTTGAGATGTGAGACTGTATAGTACAGTAGTAGTGTACTCTTGTCATGGATGTACAGTACATCATAAATTTTGACAGTTTTTGGATTATATTTCTAAGACTTAAGAAATATGCGTGTTTCATGTCTCATCTTTTAAGAACATTAAGATTTGATTATATATACAAGGTATATATATTTATTTATTTTTACCACAATTAATTTTTTAAATGAACCAATGAATTTTTTGTGAATTTTGTTTAATTTACAAGATATTTATTACTTGTACTGATTTGACTTTATGAAAAACAACTCTAGGTCAGTTTGGGTAACAGGAAACACACACATATTTTTGTTCAGCATAAAAGATGTAAATGACAACATTAGTGTTTGAAGCAACATCTTCTGCTACCTGTTGTTGTTGTCAGTGATATAAGCTGTAACTATTGGATTTAAATATGAATAGTGAGAAATAGCCTTCACATTGTAGTAATTTAAAACTAAAGACATGGGTGAAATATTTTGGGAAGGTAATTGATTCCAGCCACATTGCTGTTTGGTGAGAAATGGCTAATAATGAAGAATTTCTTTACTTAGGAGTCGGCAAACTATAGAATCCTGTTTTAAGACGTGCCAATGTGTCCAGTCAAGTAAAATTGCTTTAATAACCCAATTGGCCGTGTAATAATTGATGGTGTTTGATTATGTGAATGTAGCGTGAATCTTTAGAGTGCAGAATACAAGAGAGAGAGAGAGAGAGAGAGCTCCCAGACTACTTACATATACAGGATATATTGTATTATGTTATGTACTGCACAAATGCACTGGAAATTTTTATTTAAGATTTGTCTGGTCACTGGGGGGGAGGGGGGGGGGTGTCTCTTCCTTCTCATAGTTTTGTAATTAATTCCCCTTTACCCAACTTCTACTTACTGTACAGTATATTGTTCCTGAGTTTGTTGTGTCTTTATGTTTGTCCGTCATCAAAAACTTCACTGATGATATTCAGTGAGTATTATTAACTGACTTAACATACAGATTTGGAGAGAACAAGTGAGAGAAGGTTTGCTAATGTTGGATATCTCACATACCTGTTGATCATTTTATATATGTACATATAAATAAAAAACTTGGGATTCAAGATAATTTGTGGTTTATCTTCATTCTTCCCTGTCCAGTGGTTCACAGTCTAGTCTGGTACTGTACTCTACTGTCTGAGAAATAATGAAACAACTGCTATAGCACCTAAAGTACTGTACTGTATAGCTGCAGTACAGTATAGTACAATAAGTTCATATACACTACAACACTACAACACAAAGCTACAGGCAGCAGGTGTCACCCAGTCTGGTCCTCAAGGTATACTATAGAGACTGTTAATTGATTGAAAATGTCCAAAGGAGGGCCACCAGGTGTAGGCACCCACAGAGAGATTAGAATGCCTGCTGTAGTTCAGGTTATACTATAGGCGGAGGTGTGACTTAATACAGGTTTATATACACCTCAGAGGACATAACTCAGTCCAGTGTTCATACATGGAGCTGTTGGTTATCTACATAGACTAAACGGTTAAATTACAGATTAAAGAAACCAATGAATCAGGTAAGAAAATGTATTACCTAACCTAACCTGATGTAATATAAGAAAATGATCATAGAAATAATAGTTCTATCGATTGAGTGAAGTGAATTTCCGGAATTCTGTGGTTGCTGTTTTATTTAATATTTAATCATTATATCTATATACTGTGCATTAATTACTGATATAGTGACGATATATAAACGATATATATTTTTTGGCATCATTCGATTATATATTGTTTATAATTAATTTGTATTTATAATAAGAACATAATTATAATGTTACAAAATTAATTCTAAATATGAAAGAAGAAGAACAACTGTTGATGTTATTTTTGGTGAGTAATGCCAAGACTGTGGTGGTCGGGTTCACAATATATTACATTTAGAATTATTAAATCTAAATCTAAATATATAACTAAAATATTAATGTATTTTGAGATGTATATTAACAAATAAGTCATAACAACACAGTATATATGAGACATTTATAGTTAGACAGATATGAGACAGTAATTAGTGAAAATAAAAGGAATATTCTAAAAATATTCTCGGCGGAATTGTTCAAATAGTTCCCCACAGACCGAATATATGAAGAGAAAAATAACAAAAACATAAATATATTAATAAGTGATAGACTGAATATTTAAATCATAGTTTATTCTTAAATATTAATGAACGCAAAAATATTCTTTAGTGAACCCGAAGAAACTGAACGAGGCTTTGGTTGTCAAGCCAGAAAAACAAACAATGTTAAGTTATGTATCACGAACAAGATGCCAAACATTATGTATTTTATGAACAAGAAGGAATTAGTTTCAATTAATAAATAAAACTGAATTATAAATTATATTAAGTTAATTTACGATATATTAGATAATTCATACACACACAATTAACTTTAAATGACTATTAAAACCATAGAGTAAAATAATTTAACTTACTCTACCTAGAAACTAACTTACACATAATTTTAGTATATTAGTTCAGATTAAGTATTATTAATTAAAAATATTATTAAGTTTGTTTTAAAAATATAACAAATAATAATAATTTAAGCACAGATTCGTTCGTGGTAATCCCCTCAACATGATCCAGTACCCTCACTACGACTTGTCAGGAAGAAGAAGAAGAAAAAGACCCCAAGAGAGACATACCATTTTCTTACCATTTCCCACGTAATTAAACCCTAGACAGTGTTACCGCCACCATGAGTAAAGGAGGAGGAGGCAAGATCTTCACGCCCACTAACCAAATAAGGCTGACAAACATAGCAGTAGTGAGGATGAAGAAGGGAGGCAAGAGGTTTGAGATTGCTTGCTATAAGAATAAAGTCCAAAGCTGGCGTCAGAAAGTGTAGGTATTAATATTATGTTTGTGATGCTATATTAATGTTATATATACTAGTTAGTCTGTTTTATATGGTTAGTGTCGTTAATAAATACCAGAGTAATCAAATGACATTACTATCTACCTTAGGGTATTGTATTGCATCACTCGTTGCCACCCAATGAATTTTTTTTTTTTTAGGATTTTATAGCTGCAGTTAATAGTTTAGACAATTATAAGACAGTTTTATTCTATGACGTAACTCTCACAAATGACTTATATACCTGTGCTTGGGGTTAGGTTAAGTGGTATTATTTCCACTTGTTGCCACTTAACTAATCTCGTAAATTTAAAAGTTACAATCAGTAGTTTTGACAATTCTAAGACACTTTTCTTCAATGGCATTTCTGGCGCAAATTACGTATAAGTGAGATATTTAATATTTTGTTATGTATGTTAGTATGTGGCGGTACTCACCAGAACATGGAATGACTGTCAAGCACCCCAGTTAGATTAGGTTCTGTTACGTTAGATTAGATTAGGTTAGATTAGGTTAGATTAGGTTAGATTAGGTTAGATTAGATTAGATTAGATTAGATAATAGATGACAAGATTTTCAAGTAGCAAACACTCCTGTCTTGTAGGTTTAAACAGATCTGGCCTTCTATTACAACAGCCTTACATTATCTGGGACTTAAATAACACAAATGTAGAATGCTGTATCAGTGTGTAGTGCAGGAAGTTGTGCGCTTCAGCCGGGGAACATTACTGACCCGCGGTACATGTATAGTTATCAGTCATTAGATAAAAGATATATATTAACTTTGAAGGGAGGAAAAGGTTAATTTGCCTCTTAGGGACACACACACACACACACACACACACCCACCCACACACCTACCCACCCACCCACCCACACACTGCTGGTTCTTGTGTATATTGAGGTAAAGATGACAAGGTTCACTCTGCGTCCACAACACCCCACTACACAGCCTTAACCTCACAGAGAGAAGGACATCGATGAGGTGCTACAGAGCGAGACCATCTTCACCAACGTGTCCAAGGGTCAGGTCGCCAAAAAAGAAGAACTGATAAAATGCTTCAACTCAGAGAATCAAAAGGAGGTTAGTTTATTACACTCTCTTGTATGATAATTTTAACTCTCTCTTGTGCGATAATTTAAGTGTCATTCATCGATCACAATTCGGAATCTTCCAACTATATAAAACTCTATATAGAAATAAAACTACTGGTAAGGAAATGATTTTTTGGGAAACTCTACATATGGTATTTTTCTTATAGACGTTAATAGATATCTTGTGCCGTCTAATTTTTGCCGGACAATTAATTATTTCCGCGATGTTTTCAGATTTGCTTACAGATTCTGGAGAAAGGCGAGCTGCAAGTGTCAGACAAGGAGCGGCATGCAAATCAGGAGTCGTCAGTAAAGGAGATCGCATCGATTGTGTCAGGTACATAGAGTAAATTTTTTAATGTTTCTGACACTTATGCCTCCTAGGTGTATATATTTGTGTCGGATATTTAATATTTGGGTAGATTTTAAATATTTACGACACCTGGACATTATTGTTGTATATTTGTGTTTACTTCTGAGATACTTAAACAGTTTTTCTATACATTTTCGTGTTATATTAATCCAAATTACTTTTTTTATGAGTGAATTAACTTTTATCGTATACAAGTACTGTACTTTTGAAACAATAATTCTTTTTGTGTTCATTGTAGTTAATATTACTTATGTTAGTTTGAGTTACTTTAAGAAATAGTTACCTTTGTCAGTAGTAATTTTTAGTCATGTGGAGGAAGGTAAACATTGTTGTTAATTAACTTTCAATGTAATGTTTTATCTGTTCTTTATCAAGTCTATAATTCAACCATTTCATTTCATTACTTTTCATTCCTCTTTTATTTCACTATCAATCTATCTCTCATACCCTAATGCCACATCTGAGTTCGTATGATGTTTACTTTTGCGATTTAAAAAATGCTTTCTCCCGCGTTACCAGACAAGTGCATCAATCCAGAGACGAAGACCCCATACACGGTATCCTTGATCGAGAGCGCCATGAAGGACCTCCATTTCTCCCTCAACCCCAAGCGGAATAACAAACAGCAGGCTCTCGATGTCATTAAACAGCTGGCCGGGGTACGTTTGGCTTCGGCGTCAGAGTGCGTTACCCGGATTCGATAGCTGTTGTGTTTTGAGTGTCTGCTGTAGTGTAATGAACTTGGCCATGAATTTTGAGTGTGTATTCTAGTTCAGTAATTACCTCAGCCCATTATCTAAGGTGATTAAGTGTGTATATTAAGAGTGTATTCTAGTTCAGTAATTACCTCAGCCCATTAACTAAGGTGATTAAGTGTGTATATTAAGTGTGTATTCTAGTTCAGTAATTACCCCTAGTCCACGAACGACTAAAAACCACGACAGTTACATCTTTCCATAGGGCGTCCAGAATGTAAACGATCCCAACGCCATCGAACAGTACACCTAAATCAGAGAATTGAATCAAAAGTCGTGGTTTTCATTCCGATGTATTTTCCCGTGTGATGACGATTCTCGACACCCGTAACGAGGTCGAAATGAGGTGACGATCGAGCACTCACGTTGTTGTTTTTATCCCGCAGAGAATTCCCATCCAACGTGCCCAGATGAAGGTGAAATTGATGATCCCAGGGAAGGAGGCCAAGAAGCTGAAGGAGAAGGTCGTGCCGCTGATGAACGTGGAGACCGAGACGTTTGAACCTGATCTGACTATTGTGAGTATGGGGTTGGGTGAGGTTAGGTGAGCTGAGGTTAGGTTAGGTTGATTTTGGTGGAGTGTTGGGTAGTTTAGGTTGGTTTTGGTGGAGTTTTGGGTTAATATTCCATAAAATATTGATGTTTTAGTTAAATATTCCATAAAATATTGATGTTTTAGTTTAATATTCCATAAAATATTGGTGTTTTAGTTAAATATCCCATAAAATATTGATGTTTTAGTTTAATATCCCACAAAATCCATTAACATTTGTATAGCCTCTTATAATTAACGCATTTTCCAGGTGGCCTTAATTGACCCAGGGAACTTCCGCGTCATCGAGGAGATGATCACCTCGGCCACGAAGGGTCGGGCCAAGATAGAGGTGATGAGTCTGAAGGAGGCCACCGATGATAACGATGAAGACATCGCACTCACATAGTTTGTTGTGACGGAGAGATGGGGGCAGTTTGTTGTGTGTGTGGGTGCCTGTTTGACCGTCTGTCTGTCTGTCTATCTATCTGTGCGTGTAATAGATGTGTGTATGTGTGTGTCTGTCTGTCTGTCTGTGTGTTTGTGTAAGATGTGTGCATAATATATGTGTGTCTGTCTGTCTGTCTGTGTGTTTGTGTAAGATGTGTGCATAATATATGTGGGTGACACTGTTGTACTGATCTGTGTGTGTGTGTGTGCGTGTGTGCGTGTATAATAGATATGGGTGATGTCTTATGAGTGAGGGACACTTTCTTGTACTGGTGTGTGTAATATGTGGATGTATAACAGATGCAAGTTTGTGTATGTATCATGTGTGTGTGTGTATGTATCATGTGTGTGTGTATGTATCATGTGTGTGTATCAGATGTGTTGTAGGTAAGTGATATGTTTTGCTCAGTAACACTTCCCGACTGCCCTGCTCTCATTCCCTTGTGTCTCACGTTGGCCAAAATTGGTCCACAGAACTCAGAAGTAGTATTGTGTTGCATCGTTTCATTACACACAAACCCTTATGTTGAGTTGAATCTTTTATGCAATGTTCAGTTAGTGTGTTAAATATTCCCTTCATGACAAATTTGTGTTAGTTTTCAGTTTTAAATATTTTAGTTCACTGCTTCATTATGCTTCAGGAGTCTTTCACAACAAGATAAGGAGAAGTATGTTTAAAGATTTGAAGGTAATGAAAGTCTTATATTCACTTACTGATGAGATTGTACGAATTAGCATTGCATTTATTTCTCGCCCGATATGTTTTGACGCTTAATTCATCTTCGACTTTATTGCTTCACTGTGTCCCGAGTCCTTTAGATTATCACGAAGGCGAAAGCCGTGAAACTATTAAATACATGGAGATGATATGTGACATCGCTTCTCTTAAAGACCTGGAGATAATGTTATAAAAATTTGTGAATCAGACCCACATTAAAAGATCAAAACTTATTTATGTTGTTATGGTGTTTTTCCATCCCATGTGAGGGGTAAAGAAAACTGATAGACAGAAGCAGACAGACAGATAATAAGATAAACAGACAGATAAGATAGATAACTTGTATTTAAACATCGTAGTCTGAATGTTTTTTTTTTTTAAATATTGTTTAAGTCGTCTACATATTGGATGGTAGTCCTGATGTTCCATAACACCAGACGAGTACGCTCTACTGAGAGGGAAGTCCATTATATCGAGGGTCCGTTAGATGTGATTCCCCCCTTATGGCACCGTTCTCCTCTGCCATCTGCCACCTCGACGCTTCTCCGTCCCCTTCACTTGACACCAGACGACATCATCGGCCATTAGCAACATGCCCTAAAGTCTTGATCGTTTTGTGTGGGTTTGACCTGATGCAACTTGTAACCAGTACAGTATATGGCAACTCATGTGATGTAACCTTTTAGGACACGGGTCATCACAGGTGAGGGAGGGGGGGTTACAGAAGTGAAATGCAGCGAGAGGAAGTACCTGTAGGGTCATTTGTCCGAGAACCCCAAATGATTAGAATATCTTAGGACGAAATAATAAACAATCATTAAAGTCAGTAGTAATGAAATATGATCACGTGAAGTACATATATCTTCTTCACAATGATATAATCGGGCCTAAAATACAGTAATATTTGATGGTTTTCTAATACAAATATGACTGTATCACTGCATCATCATCAGACTCCTGTAGCTATATTCCCCCACAGCCATTCTCATGTGTATTACAGAACCTATAACAGCTGACTACTGTAATACCCCTGTAATGCTCAAGGCTGCTACTAAAGCGTGCGGTATAAAGATATTTACAGTATAACGTGTGGTTCTGTAAATTACTTACACTAAAAATTACGGTCTGTAATTTGTCCAATGCTTTAGAATGCGAATTATCAAAATTTTCTTAGTATTTTAATGTTTTTAGATAAGATTTGGTTAGGTTAGGTAAAGGGTATCTCCATAGACCACACGTTATAGGAGCACTGACTTGAGCTTAGTGTGATGACCCTCAAGCAAGACTGTTGATCTTCCCTCTCTCACACTGTGTTGATCCCTGGTACAGTATAGTAGTGTGTAATGTACTGTACTATACTGTAATGTACTCTTGTAGGGGTAAGTTGAAGTACTGTACTCTTACTAAAGGTATATTTTTGTAATGTAAAGACAGTACAGTACAGTTATTACAGTTTGGATGATTATAATACAGTAAAGAAACATTGATCCATTCTGTTGACATGTTGTAATGTATAAATTATGGATGACCGACATTAGGGTTTTGTTGAATCCTTAAAATGTGAGGAGTTTGTTGGGTTTGTCTTAATTCATATTAAAATAATTTACCATCAAACTACTGTAGTAATCTTTCTTCCTAAACATTTACGAAAAAGATAAATATTTCTTTAAATTTTGTGATGTAGAAAGTATTCCTCATCAACTCGGTGAACTAAGGGATAAATGAATCGAATATTAGCATAAAGGAACCAATGATATGGCCCACCACCATCTTTGTTATTTACATCCTGTGAGCCAATCGGCACTAGTCAAAATGTATACAGTAGCCCGTCAATATTTGTGGCTGTTGCATCGCAGTGAGTCGCTTAATATCACCGTTTACTGGTGTTTTATGTCCATTATGTCTGGGAAATGACCTGCAAGTGAGTGCATACCAGCCAAGGTGTCCAAGGGAGTCATTACTATGGACGAGAAAGTGATGTGAAGGGTTGAAGCAGGTGTGAGGCAGAGATGGTGAACTACACATGAAGCTCTGGAAATATTAACTGGTGAGTGTTATTAAATTTAGTTTCATTTATTATATTATTATGTTAACAAAGTCTTCATTGTCGCCTCAACACAGCCATTTCTGTTTCCTTGTCACTAAATGTTTACTTTTTATATGGAGGCGGTGATGGAAATCATGTGTTCAAGTTGAAAATCCCAGTGTAGGTGCTCCTGATTATGCTGATTCTGAATCTATGGTCCATGATTCGATAGCTGAGTAATTAGTGGTTGTAATGACGCTTGGAGTATTTGAATTACATTATATGAATGCTAATTATGTGTTTCCAAGAGGCAATTTTGGTGTTTTGGTGTTATTCTGGAAGTACTTAATTAGTTAAACTTCAAAGAATACCGAACTTAACTTAACCCCTTCTTTGGAAGCTTTCAATCAACTGACAGTCTCTAGCATATCTCGGGGACCAGACGGGATGACAGTATGCTCTATCCCTTATCTATTATCTCCTCACAGTCTCTTGCTTTATCTCTCCCTCTATCAGCAGACCCAAGACATTATTGACTTGTCACCACAACTCCAAGTCACTGATAACACAACTCTGGCTGGGTACTGCCTCGGCTCTCCTACCAGTTGGTATTTGTATTGGCAACCAGAAGACAGTGCTTTTGTCAAGTAAGGTGGTATTGTCCTTAAGTCATACCATTTTAGGGTACAGTTTGGTATCAGTGAGGTATTTTGGTATTAATGTGTGGTAGGGTTGTTGCTATGTGTGATGTCTGTTGGTATTAGATGACATGGTATGGGTATTATGTATGTTTGGTATCACTTGGTATCTTAGTATGTAACATCAACTATTATACTACTCGGTCATAAACAGGGTATTTTGGTATGTGTTATTCTACCTGATAGTTAACTAGTATCAGGTAAGTCTGTGTGGTGTCATTAATGCATTGAATGGAAAGGGGGCCGGAGTCAATACCAAGACCAGAGACATTACAGAGAACAATTTCCGCCTTGAAAGTCATGTACACTAATACTGACACATTCCTCGACAAGGGAGCGGAGTTTGAAACGCTACTGAAGGTACATCAACCCGATACAGAACGGGGGAATTGAACCGGAGGAATGCGAGTTCAATATAGAAAGATAAGACTTATTTATGAACCTTTCTCAAGAAACTTGCAAGAGGGGTGAGGTTATCTATGCTGGGCAAGACCTTAGAGCCAGCCAGGTGAGGGTACAGGGAGAGGATGTTTTGGAAGAATCAAAGTGGTGTAAAATTAAGCTGAAAGGTAGAGACTTAATTATTGTGGGGTGTATCTACAGATCCCCACTCTGTAGCGTATTAAACTAGAGGAACTTAAGAGCCTTAATTGACAATATAATGGCACTAAACCCTAGCCACCTCCTTGTCATGAGGGACAATTTTCTCTTCCAACATGTTAAAGATCCAACTCTCTACAGAGGGGAGCAAACACCCAAACCGCTGGACCTCAACACAGTTACTCAAGGTACTGGATGTTTGGATTCAAATTTTAGAACACGAGAGAAATATCGACAATATATACCTAAATTTTGCCAAGGCTTTCGACAGCGTACCTCACGAAAGGCTGAGAATCAAACTGGAAGGGTACAGGATTCGGGGAAGTGTCCTAGCACGGATCGGAGACTTTCTGCGTGACCGCAAACAGTACGTGGTGATTAATGGTACGAAATCGTCGTGTACCTGTGACAAGTGAGCTACCACAGGGCAGTGTATTGGGCATGTTGTTATTTGTTTGCTTCATAAATGATATGCCAGAAGCTATACATTCCTCCATAGAAGTATTTGCCAAGTTATTTAGGGAAACAAGAACCAAACACTGAGGAAAGATCTCTATGAGCTTCAAGAATGGTCCAAGAAATGGCTGCAAAGATTCAATGTTACAAGTGCAAAAGGATGCACCTGGGTTGCACCAACAGTAAGGAGGCGCATCACATGTCCCAACAGGACGAAGAGACTGAATGTGAAAAGGACCGGGGTGTGTACGTTGACAACAAACTAGAGTTATCAGGCCATTGTGGGGCAATGAACTTCAGCAAACCATATTCATAAAATGCGTTGTTTGATGCTCATGGTCCGGTCACTTATTTAAATCTTCAGAGAAGTTTCATCTGTCCAAAGTGAGGCACCAGACAGAACCTGCCCAGAGAGACTGAGCGCCTGCAACTACCCAGCATTACCGGCGACCTAATCAGCAGTATATATAGGCACACTACTGGTTGAGTGCAACGGAAAGTTCTGTAGGCAAACTGGCGCGCAGAAGTTGCGAACTTGACACTTTAAAACTTTTTTCCAGCGTGAGAGTTGTGAACTCTTGGAATACTCTGCCAGAAACTGTTGTGATTGTACCGAGTGTGAGCTCATTCAAGACCAGACTTGACCAACACTGGAGCAGGTAATGATATATTCAGGAGCCGGTGCATGCCCAGTATCTGCCAACAGTGCGTAACGGAGATGTGGCCGACCGCCCAAGCGGCTAACGAGCCAACCATTGGCCAAGAGGATAAAAGTAACAGTAAAACGAATGAGTGTATCATACGTCAGCCAACCACCATTAAGGAACAAGTTGTTTAAAATTGCTTCTGTTGACAAGTGATGATAAGACGACAGCGACTACGGTACGATGTGTTCACAGTGTATTCGTTTATAAGTGAAATTTCAGAGTATCATCTTTTATCTGGCAACAGCAGGAGTATAATATTACTATACGATAACCATGACATGATTTTGTTAACAGTCCGGAGCACATCGTACGTCGGGCAGCAGTGTTGAATGCAAAACGCTACCATAACAACTACAGAAGAACTATTTAATATTCAGTAAATATTGTACAGTATTGTTAGTGAGATCATTTCATACATATATAGAGTTATTTAAATTCCCTAAACTAAATAGATGATAAAAATTGTCTTACTTCTGGCAGCTGACATGAGTGGTCGAGGAGGGAGAGGCAGAGCAAGGGGCTGGCAGCGTCAACCTCCAGATGAACAAGAGAATTACACCTTGCGTAGACCTGGTCAGGTGAGGCAGATGATAATAATAATAATAATAATAATGATAATAATACTGTAATAATAATAATAATAATGATTATAATGATAATAATAATAATGATAATAATAATAATGATAATAATAACTTCAGGATGGGTTACAAGAACAAATGGCAAACTTGCAACTTGAGGGAGGAGGCCAGAGAGGAAGAGGAGGTGAAGGAGGAAGAGGGAGTGGTGAACGAGGAGGAGGAAGAGGGAGTGGTGAACGAGGAGGAGGAAGAGGAGGTAGCAGTGACCGAGGAAGAGGAGGTAGCGGTGACCGAGGAAGAGGGGAAGGGGAAGGGGGTAGCAGAGGCCGAGGAAGAGGAAGAGGAGGAAGGAAGGAGGGGAGTATACTACAGAGAATGAGTAATACAAATGAGTGTGTTGTGTGGACCAGACCTCCTCATGTTATGGAGAAGAAAGGTGAGTCTCTCTCTCTAATTCTCTCTTTTTCTCTCTGTATTTCTCTCTATCTGTCTCTTTTTCTCTCTCTATTTATCTCTATCTCTCTCTAATTGTTTCTATATATATATATCTATCCATTCAAAGACTTATACACCCTACTTCCCTCCTCCCCTCCCCTACTAACCTCCCCATCCACCTATCTACGCCTCTCTCTCGCCCTCCTTCCTACCTAACTAACCCTCCTCCCCCCCCCCCTCTCATTCACAGGTAAAACGGGCCAACCCATAATCCTACGAGCTAATTATTACGAGATCAAGTCGACGCCGGACTGGGCCTTGTGTATGTATCACGTTACCTTCACCCCAGACGAGGACAGGACCCACATGAAGAAGTTGCTCCTCCGCCAGCACGTCAGCACCCTCGGGAATTACATCTTCGACGGTAATCAACTCTACGTGGCTCATAAGCTCTCCCATGATGTGAGTTCTGTGGGTTTGGGTGGTGATGGGGGGTTTTGGTGGGGGTTTGGGGGTGGTGAAGGAGGGTTTGGGGGTTGAGAGTTTGGTACTATTGTTGTTTTGGTGATGTAAGTATGTGGTCATCTGAGACACACTAACTCAGTCATCCATCACACTAGTACACCATTTCTCTCTCACTCTCTTTAACCCATAGCCGCTGGAGTTGGCCTCAAAACGCCCAGATGACCAGACTCCCTACACTGTCAAGATCCGGTTCATCAAGGAAGTCCCTCCTTCAGACACACAGTTCCTTCAGGTAGGTGTTTGATACATCCTAGAGGTGTATCCTTCTGTGGGTCTTGGGAGTCCTTTTTTGTGGGAGGGAGGGATGGGTGGGTTTGAGTCCTATAGATTTGGGAAGTCCTTTGATGAGAGGAATTTAAGTTCTTGTATAGGTTAGGTTAGAATAGGCTAGATTACCTTAAATTTGGTTAGATTAGATTAAGTTACATTAAATTACTAACACACATATATATAACACCTGCCTCCCTTGTTACAGATCTTCTCCATATTGTTACGAAGATGTTATGAGCACCTGGGACTAACACAGGTGGGCCGTCATTACTACAACAGCAAGGAAGAGGTGCAGAACCACAAGTACAGGTGTGTGTGGGGTGATGGTCCTCTCGTGGTTAATGTGTGGTTCTTTTGGTTAGGTTAGGTTTTAAGGTCTTTCCTCTATAGTCTTTCTTTATCTTTTCCTCTTTCCCTTTTTCCCCCTTCCTTTCCTGTCTCTCTTTATTCCTCTTTCCATCTCCTTCTCTCTCCCATCTCTTCCTTTCTACCTCATTTTTTCCCTCCCTCCCTTCCACCCTCTCACCCTCTTTATAAAACCCACCCACCCACCTATCAATCAATCATTCGTTCCAGGGTTGCTATCTGGCCTGGTCACGTGTCCAGCATCAGACAACACGAGCACAGTATTCTGATGGTGACGGATGCAATACACAAGTTCTTACGACTGGACACTGTTTATGAAATCTTGCGAGGCATCCGGAACACCAAGCCGGATAGCTTTGTGAGTAGGAGAGAGAGAGAGGGGGGGATAGTTACCCTTAAATCCATTCTCTGTAAACTGTATCATAGAAAACGGGAATTATTTACAGCCAGTTGTGTTTATATTTAAGAATTATTCAAAACCTGTATGTATAGACTTATTAAAAACAGTTACCCCCTAAAAAAAATCAGTTTTCTATGATATGATTTAGAGAGAAAACGGATTTATGGGTAACTCATGTAAACAAGATTTCTTATGGATAATGGTGCAATATGTATGTGTGTGGGTGTTGAACTGTGAATAGATTATAGGTGCAATTGTGACCATGAGAGAGAGAGAGAGATAGATATGCCTCCCTCCACTAACAGTAACACCTCTCTCTCAACACCTGCAGAAGTATCTGGCGGGAAAACAGCTGCTGGGGATGATCATCATGACTCGGTACAACCAGAGGACTTACAGGATTGACGATATAGCTTGGAACTTAACAGCTGTGAGCAAGTTCTCCTGTCAGGGTCAAGATATAACTTACATGGATTATTACCAAAGAGTGAGTCTCCTCTATGGTCATCTGTACATACAAAACCCCAAATCAACTAAGTCTCCCCTCAAAACCTCAGAACTACTCCAAAACCCCCAGAAATATCCCTAAAAACATCAAATATACCCCAAAACCCCTAGAAATATCCCTAAAAACCCCAGAAATATCCATAAAACATCAAATATACCCCCTAAAAAACAGAAATAAGCCCCCAAACACCCAAAAACTAACCCCAATCAACCTTTATCCACCCCCCATAGACGTACCAAGTGGCTATCAAAGACCCACACCAACCACTCCTCATGTCCAAGCCGAAGAAACGTGACCTAAGGCGTGGTCAGGGTAACATATACCTCATCCCAGAGCTGTGTGTGGCTACTGGACTATCTGACGAGATGCGCACCGACTACAACCTCATGCGTGATTTTGCCGCTTGGACTCGCATGGCCCCAGATAAGAGAGTGACGACACTGAGCAAATTTAACACCAGGTTGTTTGAGAATGCGCAGGTGAGTGAGTGTGTGTGTGTGTACAGGTGTGTGAGAATGTACAGGTGTGTAGGAATGTAAATGCAAGTTGTTTCAGAATGCTTGTGGACAGTTAAAAAGCTGAATAATAACAATAATAATAATAACAGCCACAATTTCCCACTCCATCTCAGGTCAAGGCCGAGCTACAACAGTGGGGGCTAGAGTTCTCCCAAACACTGTGTCAAGTACGAGGTCGAGTCTTACCCAGTGAAGTTGTTACTCAGGGTTCCCACACTTTCACCTACAAGAATTCTGACGCTGACTGGGCAAGAGAGATCAAGGGTGAGTTGATTAAAGTAGAGGTTTAACAAGTTTTTATTCATTTTAACATATTCTAACACCTTTTAACACATTCTAACACCTTTTAACACTCCCTAACACCATTTCTACACCTCACAGCCCATTCTAACACCACCTAACACCTGCATATCATGGGTTGTTCCAGATGTGCCCATGAACGTTGGACTGACTCTTACTAACTGGCTGCTCGTGTTCCCGGCTCGACTGAAGCAGGAAGCCGATGATTTTCTGAGTGGGGTTCGTCGTGTGAGTCGATCCTTAGGCATGGTGGTGGTCCAGCCTAAGATGTGAGTGTTGTGTGTGTGAGAGAGAGAGAGAGAGAGAGAGAATACTTATCCAAATCACCTTTCTAAATTACTCTAAAATCCCCCTTTAAATAACCCCAAAATCCCCCCCCCCCCTGCAAATTAACTAAAAATCCCCATAATCATCCTAAAATCACCTTTCTAAATCACCCCTATAGAGAATGCCTCCCTCACGACTCGGCCCAAGACTACGTGAGGACTGTGGCCAGGTATGGGGGCGTTCAGATCATTGTATGTATCTTACCTAACAATAGACTGGACAGGTACGCCGCTATCAAGAAACACGCCTCTGTTGTCATGGCCATACCCACACAGGTAAGGGGTATAATTTGGTTATGTTTCTTGGGTATAATTTAAGGAGAGTATATTTCATTTTGTGGTATAACTTAGTATATTTATTTATGGTTTCTATAATTTTTATCTCGGTATAATTTAGTAGTTTAATTGGATATACCTTGGTAGTATAATACAGTATACTCTCAACATATCCTCCGGTTACAGATGGTGTTGGCTAGGTCACTACAGAACAAGCCAAGGTTGATGAGCATTATAGCCAAGATAGCCATTCAGATGAACTGTAAACTGGGAGGGGAGGTGTGGAACGTCCAGATTCCTTTCCAGGTATTGGTACTGTGTGTGTTGGCTGGTGGTAAATGGTGTCTAGGGGGTTTTCAGGGGTTAAAGGGGGGATTTCAGGGGTTCAGGGAGGGTTTTAAGGGGTTAAACAGGGTTCAGGGATGGTTTTCATGGGTTCAGGGAGGATTTCTTGGGTTCAGGGAGGGTTTTCAGGGGTTAATTAATGTTTACATCATTCAGGGAAGTTTCTAAGGTGTTTCTCGGGGGAAATTCAAACCTTAAATCCTATAGATGCCTAAAATATCCCTTAATCCCACAAATAACCCCCAAACCCTTAAATAATCCCTAAAAATACCCCCAAACCCTTAAATAATCCCTAAATAACTCCTTAACCCTTAAACAAACCCAAAAAATAAGCCATAAATCCTTAAAATAACCCCAAATCCTTCACATAACCCTTAAATCCCCACGACAGAACACGATGGTGGTGGGTTACGACGCCTATCACGACAGCGGGAGGCGTGGGGCGTCGTGGGGGGCGGTGGTCGCTTCCTTCAACAAGAACCTGACTCGGTATTACGGCCAGGTGTCACGTCACTCCAACCAGGAGGAACTTACGGCCAACTTCTGTGCTTCTATACAGAGTAAGTGTGTGAGTGAGAGAGAGAGAGAGAGATAAACAGATAGACAGAAAGAGAGAGATAGACAGATAACTTAACTCCCATTCTTCACACCCCTAGATGCCCTCTGTCACTATGCTGAAGTAAATGGACGATTGCCAGAACGAGTGTTGGTTTATCGGGATGGCGTAGGTGAGGGCCAACTGCAGTATGTGAAGGATATTGAAATAGCTGCCATTAAGGTGAGTCCTGTACCTGTGTCTGTACTTGTACCTGTGCTGGATGATGTATGGGTCTACAGCATACACACACACACCCCAATAACCAAGTGTTGTGGATGTTACAGGCGTGTTTTGAAGCCAACAACTACTCGCCCAGGTTCAGCTTCTTGGTCGTGAGTAAGAGAATCAACACACGTCTCTTTGCTCAGGGCGTTAACACAGGCACCCCCATCAACCCCCCTCCTGGTACTGTCTGCGATGACGTCATTACCCTACCAGAAAGGTAAACAAACTTTCTTCTCTACGGTAAACACTTTGGTAGTCTTAGGGTAATGTGTATGTAAGTAAACACAATTATTAACTATTTCTTATCCAACTAACCCACCCTCTAATTAACCCACCCACCCTCTAATTAACCCACCCACCCACTAACTAAGTAACACCTTCAACTCACAAATTAATTACCACACACACACAGGTACGACTTCTACCTAGTGAGTCAGAGGGTAATACAAGGGACAGTGACTCCCACCTCATACAATATCATAGAAGATCTCAATTCTAATCTTGATGCTGACAGACACCAACGCCTGGCCTACAAGTTGACTTATTTATACTACAACTGGATGGTAAGGGGGATAATAATACTGTTTTGTGATGGGGTTAGGTTAGCGTAGGGTAGGTGAGGTTAGGTTAGTGTGAGCATTACGTTAGGGTAAAATAAACTGAGGGAGCTAATCTTCATGTGAAATAAATTGAGTAGATGACATTTATACCACACTGTACCACATCCTACCACACTGTGCCACATCCTACCACACTGTGCCACATCCTACCACACTGTGCCACATCCTACCACACTGTGCCACATCCTACCACACTGTACCACATCCTACCACATTTTACCACAGTTCCTCTCCTCTACCACCACCAGGGACCTGTGAGGGTACCAGCCCCTTGCCTGTACGCCCACAAGCTGGCCTACATCACCGGGCAGGCCATCCACGACGTTCCTCACCGGAATCTCAGTGATAAGCTGTGGTACTTGTGAGAACTGACCACCAGAACTGTCCCAGAGCCTGTTGGAGCCTTATATATGTGACAACTGACCACCAGAACTGTCCCAGAGCCTGTTGGAGCCTTATATATGTGACAACTGACCACCACAACTGTCCCAGAGCCTGTTGGAGCCTGTGTGGAGCCTTATATATGTGACAACTGACCACCACAACTGTCCCAGAGCCTGTTGGAGCCTTATATATGTGACAACTGACCACCACAACTGTCCCAGAGCCTGTTGAAGCCTTATATATGTGACAACTGACCACCACAACTGTCCCAGAGCCTGTTGAAGCCTTATATATGTGACAACTGACCACCACAACTGTCCCAGAGCCTGTTGAAGCCTTATATATATGACAACTGACCACCACAACTGTCCCAGAGTCTGTTGGAGCCTTATATATGTGACAACTGACCACCACAACTGTCCCAGAGCCTGTTGGAGCCTTATATATGTGACAACTGACCACCAGAACTGTCCCAGAGCCTGTTGGAGCCTTATATATGTGACAACTGACCACCACAACTGTCCCAGAGCCTGTTGAAGCCTTATATACGTGACAACTGACCACCACAACTGTCCCAGCACTTCTTAGACTAACATTTTTTTGTAGAAACTCTTGAGATAATTTTCTTTAACGTGTGAAAATCAGACTCACTATATTGTGTATGATAGCTTAAGGAACTCTTGTAAATAAATGTGGTTAAGTAATACCTATTGTGTCTTTTTCGAGGGAGGATCCAGGGGGGGGTGGTGGGGATCTGGACACCCAACTTTTATCATAAATTTCCTATAACTTTTTCTTTAATGCAGTATTGGATTCAGGTGTTTTTGTATAGTAAAAAATAATTACTATTGACCTCAGAATGTCATATCAATTGCACATGACTTCAATATGGTCGTCATGTTCCCCCCTACCCAAAACTTCTTGGCTCCCCCTTCTAATATTCCTGGATCCGCCCCTGTTTGTCCTGTGTGATAAGAGTGAAGATAGATAGTCAGTATAAGACAGATAGATTAATAAATACAAATAGACAGAAACGTAGATAAAAACATAGATACCAACTGATAAATAGATTAGACATTAAAGGAAAAAAAATTACTTAAGATATGAACTAGATTACGGTCATTTAAACACCTACTATAGCTCCCTCTGGTAAATATAATTATAACAAGATTTAAGTTCAGTAATTAGATCTTAATATATGAGGTAAATTAAGTGGAATTAGATTTAATACCTGAATAAAATAAGTATTCCTCCAGGTAGTTTGTTCTCACGCCTTAATTACCTGAGTTTGTATTATATTTTTTTTATTGTTTTAAAGTTATATAATTTTTCGTTGTTAGTTAAGTAATTATAAGTTTATATATAGTTATGATATATTGTATAGTAATTGGTGTTTTTTATTGGTTTATGGTTGTGATATATGATAAAAAATTATGTTTATGTGAACTGGAATTAATAGTGGATGAAATTGTAGTGTTACCAAGTGTATGTGAGATGCTATTTCCTATTAAAATGTTGTATATTTATTTTGTAGTAATCCATAAGGCAATTTTGATCTTTGATAATTCTATATTGATATTTAATAACTTAATATTACAATAATTTTCATCTAAATATATTTAAATATTTCCAATTATATAAAATTCCAGAATTCCAACATTTTTTTATATAATTTTAATCTCCAAATAATTTATCATTAAGATGAATTATAATATATACACACTATTTGATATAGATGTATTATATATCAAAAGCAAAAATATTAAGAAAAATTATAAAAACTCGTTAAAATAGGAAAAGTAATGAAGGTCACGGGGTCAGGGGGATGTGGCAACACTGACCAACACCTGAACGTCAAAAGTCGAGACAAATTTCAGTTTTATTAAGGAGTTGTGATCACCTTTACCTGTGTCTGGCCTCAGGTATGTTGCCTCTACCTCACCTGGCTCAAGATACATGGTAAAGAGTGTTGTTATTCTGTTGGATATATATAAAGGTAAATAAAGACAGTTGAGGGTGACTATACCAAGTTACTTTAGTCATGAATTATTTTATGTTTTCTCTTAATATATTTCTATGTTATTTTATTTTTTAGGTTAATGTGTAGATAAATGTTGCCGAGAACACACTACTTCACCAATAAAAGCAGAAAAAAAACATTAATTTGATGTTTTTTCCTATAATAAACGGAAAAAATTCATGCAGGAATTTTTTGTATTCCTGGTTAAGTTACTCATGGCTCTTAAGTAAACGTTTACCTTCTTTCTAAATGAATTAAATACAGCAGCCATAACACCAGCTAGCCTTAATTAACCTGACCATCACCTGGGCGCTGTTATTGTATACCTGTGTTTGACGAGCCATTGTGACGACTTTATTGATGAAATATTTACCCACATGTTTATATATCTATCTATCCTCCTATCTATCTACCTATCTATCTACCTACCTATCTATCTACCTACCTATCTATCTACCTACCTATCTATCTACCTATCTATCTACCCACCTACCTATCTATCTATACTTGTTTATCTATCTCCAGGATATCTATCAACCTTATCTGTGTTTAAGATGGAGGTAATTTTTTTCACTTGTTTTACTTGTCATTAATTATAAATTTATCACCACAATTGACTCAGAACAACAGGTAAGGTTAATGAACTGTGGTAAAGGTAATTAAACCCTACATAATTGACTCAGAACAACAGGTAAGGTTAATGAACTGTGGTAAAGGTAATTAAACCCTACATAATTGACTCAGAACAACAGGTAAGGTTAATGAGCTGTGGTAAAGGCAGTTAAACCCTAATTACTGTGTGATTGTCTGTTTCACGTGGTCACTGTTACAGAGAGTGTCGCCGGGGCTGGCACGTGCATGATGCCGTCGTCACAAGTGTTCGCCGTCAACAACAGGGGCCGGGTGTTCAGCCTCTCGACGGATCAGTCCCACTGGAAGGAACTTGTGTACCTCGGTGTGGAGTTCAAGAGAGTGTCGGCGCACGAGACGGTGTTGTGGGCGCTCGGAGGGGACCACCAGGTGTATGTTTACGTTTACGGGTCGTCCGTGCCCATACGAGTCTGTGAGGAGTCTTATGAGAATCAGGTGAGTCTCTTACAGGTTATAAAGGGATTAACCTAACCTAACAAAACCTAATCTAAGGATTTGTTTTGTACTGCTGCTTATTAAAGTAATTATTTTCTTTCACCTCAAAGTTGGTAAAAAAAATTAGGGCCGCTGCTCTGTTATTGTGTGTTGTATAAGGATGGTGGATAGATGGACACAGCTGGATAGATGAGATAGAGATAGATTAAATAGATAAATAGTTATACAGGTGAATAGATGAAATATATAGATTGAATAGAATCACGTCTATCCATCTATTTAATCTATATATTTCATCTATTCACCTGTATAGCTATTTATCTATTTAATCTATCTCTATCTCATCTATCCACCTGTGTATCCATCTATCCATCTATAGCTGAATAATTGAAATATAAAAAGTGTGCCTAAAGAACTTATGTCTGTGTGTGTACAGCGCTGGAACCCAATAGAAGGCTTTACTGGGGTGCTGCTGCCATCAGACCGAGCGACCTACTCCAGTGGCGACGGCCTCACCGACCGCCGACTGGCCGGCATCACCCTCCCGACCCTGGCCTGGTCATGGGAGTCATCTTGGCATCTGCACCACACCCACAACGGACAGGCTCTAGATAAGGAGGTGTGGGGGGAAGCCAACGAAGGCGCTTTTGTTTTGTATGAAAGGAAAACCTGATAGTATTGTCGCTCTGTGTTATGAAGGTGATAATTAATATATATTTGATTTTAATATAGTGAAACCTCTATATAATTGACTATATGGATAGGTAAGTCCTTTATATCAAGGGTCTGTTAGATAAACCTCCAGCTAATGAAGTATGAGATGTATGGTCACTGCATTAAACCCGTGTCTTGTAAGATGACATTAACTCACTGCTAACTTTAGGACGATGTAATAAAATAAATGCATAATATTATGGTGAATTTTTACAAGGCATAAGGAAACTAAACCAGGTGTGTGTGTGTGTGTGTATGTGTGTCATTTTCAGGGCTGGACTTACGCGATAGATTTCCCGAGGACGTACACAGCAGAGAAGAGGTGGAACTCCTGTGTACGGCGTCGCAAGTGGGTGCGTTACCGGCGTTATGTGGCGCTGGACACGTGGTCTGCTGTGCCTCCCATACACCATGACCCAACTGAGGTACTGTGCTCTACTGTTTTGTGTCTGGCAATAACCTAACCTAACCTCACCTCACCTCACCTCAGATAGTAACAGTCAACTTATTTATTTATTGGTATATTTATGTTTATTTATTTATGTATTTGTTTGTTTTTGTTTTGTCTCGCAGGAACCGTTTATCGACATCACTGTGGGAGGCGGTGAAGTGCCTGGTGACGACCCAGACAGACTCATGGTGTGGGGAGTGACAGCCCTGGGACGTGTAAGTGTGGGTGTGTTGTGGGTGTGTTTTAATGCCAGTGTTCCATATATATATAAAAAGTTTAATTCCTCATTGAATAATTTTCCCAAGATGTCTTACAATATATTCATTAACATTGTAAACTTTATCATTCAGGTGATGGTGCGTGAGGGGGTCGACGGCACGTGTCCTGAGGGCTGTGGGTGGATGCACATACAGACGCCACCAGACCACGATGTGACCTCAGTGTGGGTGGGGCGTTCTGGTCGGGTGTGGGCGGTGACGTGGGACGGTACGCCCATCGTGAGGACCGGAGTAACTCGTGACTGTCCCACAGGTGATGAGTGACGGGCGTAGAGGCGGTAACTCTTATATGGGTGGTGTAGGGGAGGGGTTACGTGCCTATTGGTGGTCTGGTGTTTATCTGCTGAGTTTAACCCATAGATGATGATGGTTTATGATGCCATCTTAGTTAGTTAAACGTTTATTCTTAAGGGGTTAAACCATCATCGACAAGGGGTTAAACCATCATCGTCAAGGGGTTAAACCATCATCGTCAAGGGGTTAAACCATCATCGTCAAGGGGTTAAACCATCATCGTCAAGGGGTTAAACTATCTTCCTCAAAGTCTATAATAATAAAGGTCAATGGGTGAAGTTAGTGTGTTGATCATAAGTGCAGGTTGGCGAGATAACAACACCACCATCCTTGCTGTTTGTCTTGGTGGATCAGCGGCCATAATTGATCCTCCAACTGTGGCCGTACTTGTCATCCTCACCAACCATCACAAGTCAGTTAATTGCTGGCAGTTATGTGTGTGTGTGTGTGTGTGATGGTGAAGTAAGTCATTTAACACCGATAAGTGCCCATAGTTTAGTCCATAGGTTAATTAAGTATTTTTTTTTTTGTATCATTGTTCTGTAGTGAACTTAATTGATAGATTTAAGTATCATTATTTTTATAAGTGGTTCAGGATCTATAGTTTGGTAGTAAAGGAAACCCCAGTGTATGAAGACTGTGTTTGAGGAGGTGTTGTTAGTTGATACGCACACACACACACACACACACACACACACACAACACACACACACACACACACACAACACACACACACACACACACACAGATAAATATAATAAACTCATCTTTGTTATGGTTGTGTTACCCTCAGGCACTGACTGGGTGGTCGTGGAGCCACCCAAGGGAAGCCGACTCCAGCAGGTGGCCGTGGGAGTCAACTCAGTGTGGGCCGTCACCAGGGATCACCGGGTGTGGTTCAGGAGAGGTCTTCAGGTGGCGCCAGACTCATCATCTGACAACGGGAAGCTCGGCAATGGAGCGGCACAGCGGAGCACCGAGACCGGCACTACCTGGCTCCTGATGGTCGGGTTTCTGAACATGGTCGCTATCGGCCCCAATGACCAGGTCAGTGCCGCCACACGCCTCTTAACGACTCATTAACCGAACCTGCTGTAGTACCTCTGTTAATAAGGTAGAAATATAGCCGGGTGTATTGCTAGTGACAACACCTGTACGAAACTAATTACGCATGACAGTGTTGACAGTACTTGATCGCTCACTAGTCATGTGGGCCCCAGTCTTAACAGGCCCCAACCCTAAGATTGGGGCGTGATTCTTTTGACCCTAATTCTGATGCTGTACCCAGTTGGTGTGCATTATACCCCATTAATCTCTTAGTATTAGTTTGGAGTAAATTGTTAAATTATAAAGAAGTTTCCTCATAAAACAGGTGTTGGGTATAATGTGTTGTAACGTATGTGTCCTGCAGGTATGGGAAGTACAGTATTTGTGTTCTCGTCCTGCAGGTGTGGGGTATTGGTAACGAGGACCACACTGCTCTCCTGCGGACGGGCATCACGGAGACCGAGCTCACCGGACGTACGTGGCGGCCCATCTGCCTCCCGATTGGTCCACTCGAGACTCCGGAGGCCAGCGTTAACCCCAGTCCTATTGCGAGTCCTCTGCCTTTTCCCAGTCCAAAGCTGTCGGTGAGCGTCGACAGCAAAGACCCGAGTACCAGTGTCCAGCAAGACAGTCTCACTTCAAGCTTAGATCAAAGCTTAAGAGCCTCAGATGAAATTGACTTCATAAGCATGGAGACAGCGCTAATGAGAATAAAACACCAAGAAAATGGCAAAAGGGCGAAAGACAAGAATGAGGAATCGGCCAAAGAAGAGGATAAAGGAGAATGTGGTAAGGGAGGCAGCGGTGGGGACCAAGATACCAGAACACAGTCAGAGAGTAATGAAGTGTTGCCTTCAGATGACAGTCTAGAGTCTAACATTAAGATCAGGTACCCAGAGGACTATCCCAGTTCCCTTAGCTCATCCGTTGTGTCCGACCCCAGTGGAGACTTCCTCACCAGCCTACAGGTCGGTGACGGTTCTGTGGTGCTGCCCGGCGACACTCCGGCCGAGAGCCCCGACACCGAACCCGGGCGGAAGAACCAAGTGACGGGCGACGTAAACAGCCAGAGCAGCGACGACCGGGAGAAGACGGAGACCGACGACCTACGGGAGAAGACGGAGACCGACGACGAACGGGAGAAGACGGAGACCAATGACAACGCGTCCCCCTTGGTGCAGCAGCAAGCGTCCGCCGTCCCCAGCGGAGACTGGTGCGAGTCTCGTCTGCGTCACACCAGCAGCAGCAGCGGCGGGAGCGAGGCGGGACCTGGCCGGGGGTCCCTCGTGATCCCCAGAGAGGAGGGACCCAGCTACAAAGTGGTCCCTCTGGAGGCTGAGCACCTGTGGTTGTGGGTCACCGGGGGAGGCTGTTGGATACGTGCCAACAACATGCCCAAGTGGTGAGTCCCTCCTACCTATAGTTAATGACACTACAGTCGGCCCTTAACACACGCTGGTTTAACTTACACGGATTTGCAAATTCGCGGATTGCCGCTGGAGGAATATACTTTCAAAGGAATATACATTATTCAAATCGCGCGCGACACCACACACTGCACACCACACACACATCGCCCGCGCCACCCAGCATTCACGTGCTCCCTCACTCGGTCAGTCTCGCTGTAACCACGCTTGTGTTGACATTAGCATTGTAGTTGGAAAAATATTACATTTCTGTGAATGTATTATATCAAGCACAGTATGAATAGAATATCACTAATATAACAGTATTTTAACCGAAAACTGTTAAAAAAACGAGTAACATATCTTGAACATCGGAAGGTTAGGTAAAGTCTTTTGTTTTCGTCATGTATTTTATCCTATTTTACATTGAAATACATCACGTTTCAGCAAAACTACTATTTATTTCTGAGAATATATTCATTCAGGCGCAGTTTAGGTAAAATATACATGTGATGTAACAGTTTTTAACTGAAAACGATTCGAAAAACAGGTACCCTCTAGCCCTGTTCAAGGAGAGGACTGGGAGGAGCTGTTTGGTGCTGAAGACGATGACAAGGAAAATGATTTTGATGGATTTTAATGAAAATATTCAGAAATATGGTATCGTAGTATTTATTCAAGTGAATTAGGATAGAATATTATTGTAATACAACAGTTTTTTAACTGAAAACCATTCAAAAAGCGATTACGGTAACATCTTATGAACAACGAAAGAAAGCGAAAGTCATTGTTTTCGTCATGATTTTATCCCACTTTCCACTGTAATATTTACGTCATTTCAGCAAAAATATTACATTTCCATATTTATTTCTGAGAATATATTCATTCAGTCACAGTTAAGGTAAAATATACTTGTGATGTAATATTTAAATGAAAATACCCGGTATATTAAAATACGGTATCGTAGTTTTCTTTTGTTTCAAATTTAATTAACAAAGATTGATTTTTCAAATGTAATGAACAAAAATTTATGTATCAATAAATAAACTTTAAAAATTGAATACTTTATTTTCTACATCGTCCTGTGCTACCATACCATGCATTTGGCTACTTTGGGCTTGCTATGATGACGCAAGAGATCTGCCCTGGCAACTGTACCGAAACTCACAGCTGGTGGTGCGTTGGTGAGTCGTTTCCATTGTTTACTGGTAGTTACTGGTAAATATTTTTCAACCTAACGTAACTATTACCCGTTTAGAGGTCGACCCCCAATTTTTTGCCAAAAAATTTTGTCTTAAAAACTCGAACTACACACAGGTATATACGGTAAATAAGGACATGGGGGGCTAGGGTGTTTTGGGGGTGGGGGGGCAGCAAAAATACGTGGATTCTTAACATTCACGGGTATCTCTGTTACCTAACCCCCGCCTATGTTAAGGGCCGACTGTACACTACACTACACAACACTATATTTAATGGGACCAAAGAAATTTTAAACTTTCCCTTTAAACTTTAACTTTATTATTATTTAACATATGTTGTTTATCTCTTTATCATCCAGACCTTCTCTTATTGATTCACTTGTTTATACAGGACCTGGCGACTGTCTTGGCCAGTCTTGGTACACTGACCCTATATGAATTCTTATTATTATTATTATTACAGTGTTGTTATTATGACAGTGTTATTATTATTATTTAAAGGTTCGTAACTGAAGGCTCCCCCGTGCTGTGTACTGAGCCGTGGAGAGTGAGCATACTGGAGAGGCTGCGTCAACGATACAACCAGGAGATCAAACCTTATATAGGGTGTGTGTGTGTGTGTGTGTCAACATTTATCTCATCCCAGTGATATTTCTCCTTTCTCTTAACACAATAACAGTACCTCAGTCTTCACACTGTACTCTTAACTGACTGAGCGATTGATAGTTATTCAGTAAAATCAAATTACAAGTTTACAGTTGGTTTGACATGTATATAGACAATGCATGTATACAGTTGACCATAATGCTGGGGACATGTGTACTGTATAGTTAAGCATGTATGCCAAGTATGAATTAACGTTAGATCTGGGTTATGTTAAGGTGTTGAGTATTTATGTACTGATTTGATGGTCGCTATGTGTTGGTGTTGTTGACAGTTACGAAGAAGCCGTGGAAGGTTCCTCGTGGGTGATAGCCGGGCAGTGTCGGTGGTGGGTGGCAGGCCAGTGGGTGCCAGCGTCTATAGAGCTCGTTATGGTAGGCTCTCGAAGGTCACAGGTACAGGACGCCACTTTCATCGTTAGGTACTCCCTCGGCTCTCAGCGTGTGGTGAGTGTTGACAGACAGACAGAGACAGATACACTACCCAGTATGTTGACAGATATTTTGACAGATAAAACAGACAGACAGACAGATACAAAGCATGATAATGGACTCGGAGTTTGTTGTCGTACACTACAGGAGGAAACATCGTGCAGCGTTATCCTCATGAGTGTCATGTGTGTGGAGCCACTGGCCAGTCGCTCCCTGGTGGCTCTTTACCAACCTAATCAGCCCCTGCAGCCCAAGACGCTCTCCTTCTCTGCTGAGACCGACGCTGAAGACTGGCTTAACCATCTGTCAACTGGTGAGGTTAGGTTAGGTCAGGTCAGGTCAGGGGATATACAGTGACCAATTACAGTGCATAGACAGCTTGCTTCCCATAATAATAATACTGTAATAATAATAATAATAGTAATAATAATAAAAATAATAATAATAATAATAATAATAATAATAAAATAATAATAATAATAATAATAATAGGTGTTGTTTGTCTGTTAAGAGGGCCAGTTCTACTAAAGACTTCACGTGTGGTATAGTTAGCTAAGAGGGGTGTCACCACATTAATATATCTACCCTAATTGTTGCTTTTAATTGTTCTCAGCTTGTAATCAGTTCCGTGGTATGACCGAGCGTCCGTCGTCTTATACAGTGTGGGCCGTGACCACTCAGGGAGATGTCTTCCTCCACGACTGTTCAGTTACAGAGAACGAAGTGAGTCGTCTCGTCTAATGTTGTATTCCGTGATGTAGGTTCTGTACAGTTGACGTATTTGTACCAGTATGTAGTCGAGATTATGAACGACACACCCGACCTCATAGTTGGGCATTTGAATAAGACTGTCTACCTCGAGCCCCATGTAGTCCGATTTAGAGAGGCTATTTGTATTTAAAATCGTCAGTTAGTCGGTCTTTCCTAACAGTCTAACCAGAAACATTAACCCATCTTATGTTGTCAGCTGAGGGCAGAGTCGGTGGCAGGACACAAGCAGCTAGACGTGGGGACGGGAGCCACTCCACTAACTCTTCTCCTTGACCGAGGTTTTCGTCCCGGCCACTACCTGTCTGTCTCGGGCAAGATTTACAACAGCGCCGACCAGTAAGACTATCTGTGTTGTTGTGTAATGAGGCCGTGTGTTGTCTTGTGGGGGTTGGTATGTGTGTGTGGGTGTGTGTGTGTGTCAGTGTGTGTGTGTCTGTGTGTGTCTGTGTGTGTGTGTGTGTGTGTAGAAATAAATCTCTAAATACATAATAAGCCGGGTGTTTTGAGTACGACACTTCAACGGCCAATACAACTGAGGAACACTTCATTTGTTGTTATATCATGTTAGTCTTGTTGCAGCCCCTCCTAACATGATGGTTGGTAGGTGAAATGTTATAGGGTAATTCTCATGTGTTTTTATAAAGTAATGATACTGTCTTATTTATAATCTTCATCAAGCTGTTATTTCTTCCATTCTTGTGTTGAGGGAATCTGAAGCAAAAGAAACGTGCCACTTATTAACCCTTAGCTCGTGCCTACCACCCCCCCCTCCACCCCCCGACAATAATTAAACCTATCATGAAACGTCCACTGATGATGTCTGCCGTCCCAACGCACTACTGTTTAATTGTTAATATTTGTTATCGTGAGTCAGTTTTAACACTTAACGCCAATTCTGTTGTACGTTCTTATAATGTTTATTGAATTAAACCGACCGGTACAGTATGTTCTGTTAACACACACACACACACACACACACACACACACACACACCATATTCGTCACCAAAACCCAAACACATTCTAACCTAACCTAACCTAACCTAACCTAATCTAACCTAACCAAATCCAATTAAACGACTCATAATTGTGTAGTAATAAAGTTAATCTGTTCCTCCTTCAGGTTCCACATTAACCTACAAACCTCAAGAGGAACTGACACCAGCATCGCCCTCCACATCAACCCGAGGTTTTTCCAGAAGGTGAGAGTCGAGTCTGTAGTGACGTTACCTCCTCTATACTTGATGTTTCTCTCTGGTTATTTGGGTCAGGTGATAAAGTAGCTCCTCTGGTGACTGTGTGAATGTTTGTACTACATCAGCAACATTCTCCTTACATGTTGCAGATCTCACACATACAATGAGGACAATGTTGAATGCTGATAATTATACAAACATTAACGCGATCGCTATAAAAATAGATAAGACGGTGCGGTGTTTATAAACTTTTTGAGACACCTTGTATATTTTATCTGTTAGTTCAATGTTTCTTTTCTTTTTTTCCCCACATAAAGGAGAGGAGATGGTCATTAAGTGATTTGTGTGGGAAAATGTCAAGATGTAGCAGGTATAGAGAGCCCAGGAGTTGTCAGGTACCATGATACATTGACGGGATCACCTCAAGATTAACCCCCCATCACTAGTTTATTTCACCCCATGATTAAACACCCTAATGTAACTTAAGGTAACATAATTAATCCTAACCTCACACAACATAGCTTAAAAACACATAACCTAACATAACAAAGTAGGATAACAATACTTAACCCAACCTAGCTTAATCTCACATAATCTAACCCCCCCCCCCACTGGTAGAATTATGATGTTTAATCTTTAGGTGATTTAAACAAGGAGGTGTTAATCTTCAGCTCATTCCACTTACCTTTATCATATACAGTCATACACGTAGACCACAGCACAGTACAGTACAGCACACCTCAGTCGTATTTCACCACTCTGGAATGTGTCGTTGATGTGTTTCTCATGTCTTGAATGTATCTTGAGTGTGTCTTGAATGTTTTGTATGTATCTCTTAATGTGTCTTGGATGTATTGCTCTAGGGCCTCTCAGTGTGTGTGTGTGTGTGTGTAGTGTCATATCTGTAATGTCTTTTATTATACTTTAGTTCATGTCAGAGAAGAAATGACTCTGTAGTTTATACAGTATAGCATCACATAGCTTGACATCTCACACACTCATTCTCATCTCACTTGTGTGTCACTTTTAAACACCTCAGAGGAGACCCCATACACAAGGGGTTAATAGACTACCTCCATTAACCCTTCGCTATGGGGATGCCACGTTTAGTCACCATAGAGGGGGCCCCATACACAAGGGGTTAATAGACTACCTCCATTAACCATTCACAATAAATCCTCATACATTTTAATAAAGGTACATTGAAATACAGCATACAACACGCTACTGTATTTCAGAGTGTGGTGTTCAACAGTAAGAAGAAAGGTATCTGGGGCCACGAGGAACATTCAGACCTGGGGCCACTGTCACCCGGCTCTGAGTGTGAGATCTCCATACTGTGTTGCGACGACGACCTCAAGGTGAGCTGCTTAATGAGTCTTAACTACCTCAGGTCTGTGTTGTTATGGTGGGGTGTTTAACGAGTCTTAACTACCTCAGGTCTGTGTTGTTATGGTGGGGTGTTTAACGAGTCTTAACTACCTCAGGTCTGTGTTGTTATGGTGGGGTGTTAACGAGTCACCCAAAGATTAACTCCCATCACTGGTTTATTTCAACACCTTAAGATTAACCGCCCTGATGTTAACCTAACCTACAGTATTGTGTCACACCCTGTACACTACAATAACACACACACACACACACACACACACACACCCCTATCCAGTATTTTAGTTAACTCTTCCATTCCAGATCTCCCTCAATGACAAGTTCTGGCACAGTTTCAAGCACCGCATTCCCTTCGAGAGAGTGACCCACCTGACAGTGAGGGGAAGCATCGCCATCGACGCCGTCACGTACAACCACGGAGCTGTACGTACATGTTGATGATAACGTGTAGTGTTAGGCTATGGTGATAGATAGTTAGATAGATAGATAGATAGATAGAGGTATTTAGATATTTAATGAGTAAAATCATTTATCTAAACAATGCAAATTTACAGTTGAGAGAGTTTTGAAGAGAATGGACAGTTGTACAGTATACATATCTGTACACACACACACACACACACACACACACACACACACACACACACACACACACACACACACACACACACACACACACACACACACACACACACACACTGTTATCCATTCACAGGGGGAGCGTCAGTTAAATGAGTGGTACTGGCGTGGACTGGGCGGTCACCTCAAGCGTGTGGAGAGTGGTGCCAACAGCGTGACGTGGGGCATCTCTCTCGACTTCCACGTCTATATCTACACTGGGGCTACGGGAGGAGGTCTCTATAAAAGTACGTCGTTGTTTTATGAGTTTTTGTATGGGGTTAGGTTAGGTTAGGTTAGTCAATGTGTTGCCATTTTCAGTAATTTTATTTTGTATTTTTACTTTTATTTACGGTATATTTTCTTTTATGTTTTTAGTAAGAATTATGTGATGATAAACTACCCCAAATTATTTCGCCTGATGATTAAACACCCTAATGTTACCTGGGTGGGGGGGGGGGTAGGTTAGGTTAGTGTTAGTGTGTTTGGTCATCAGCTAACCATCATCACACATGGAGGCGGTGTAGGGAATCATTAGGTCAAGGGTTAAAGACGTCACATTAACACACGTACAGACGCCTGGATCACCGACTCCGAACCTTCGACATAACCCCACGACCCTTCCCACAGGCAGCAGCAACGACGCAGGAGTCCAGATAATGAGCGACGTCCGCCACGTGTACGTCTGGGAGAACCAACGCTGGAATCCCGTGACCGGCTTCACAAACCGAGGTCTCCCCACTGACCGCAACACCTGGAGCGATCAAACGGGTCGCATCCACCGCACGAGGGAGAACGCCAAGCTGCCGTCCCGTCATTGGTCGTGGGTGATTATCTATATGTGTATTGCCTTAGATGTATTAAGTAATGTGTTTAATGTACCTTTGAAATATGATTAAATATGAGAACGGTGTATGATTTTGTCGATGCATTGTTTTGGGTTTATTTACAGACGAGCGAGTGGTGCGTAGACTATCACACGCCAGGCGGAGTGGACAGGGAAGGGTGGCAGTACGCGACGGACTTCCCAATGTGTTACCACGCCCACCGCTACGTCACGGACCTGGTGCGTCGCCGGCGGTGGGTGAGGAAGTGTCGGATGTCAACGTCGGGGCCATGGCAGCAGATGGAGAAAGTGGCGCTGGTTCACGTTTCCATTTCCGTGAGTTTCTATGTCTTAACTTAACTTACTTCCACCTTCATCTTAACTGATCTAAGTCCTAAGTCTCTCTCTCTCTCTCTCATGGGATTATCAAGATATTATCCTGAACTCATTATCTAATCCTCTGACTTGTTTTGTAAATGCTCAGTTACTTCTATGGTGTGTGGTCGGCCTCTTGGTGATTGCCTCTCATTAGCCATCGTTCACTCATCCAGGTCTAGGTTGTATAAAAGAGAGATGGATAAAAGAGAGAGAGAGATGGATAAAAGAGAGAGAGAGATGGATAAAAGAGAGAGAGAGAGATGGATAAAAAGAGAGAAAGAGAATCAGGTAGACTATGAGGGTTGAAGCATCACACCGACAGATATAAATATTCCCAGATAACCGCACGTCATTTGTCCTCTTCCTTCCAGCCGGAGTGTGCGGACGACGGGTCGGTGCCAGTGTGGGGCGTGAGCGTGACGGGGGAGGTGGTGATCAGGCAGGGGGTGAGAGCGGCCAAGTACGAGGGGGAGAGGTGGAGTCTAGTCCCCGCCGAGTGCCCCATGTGTAGCGTGTGTGCCGGCGTGGAGAGCTGTGGGGTGTGGGCCGTCAGTAAAGATGGCCGTGCTCACCTGAGGCTAGGGGTCACCAAGAAGAACCCTCAGGTTGGTTACATTGGTGTAGTGTGGCGTGTAAGAGATTGTGTCAAGTTTCCTGTGTGTATTGAACTTTTGTAATTGGAACTTTATAATAGTCTTGTGTGGTTGTTTGAGGTACACAGGTGTTGGTGCAGGTGTTATGCCCTTGTTGGTTGTTATTATTGTTACCAGTTATAGTAGTAGTAGTAACAGTAATAGTTGTAGTAAATATGATCACTGTTAGGTCATACCCAGTCACTGATCACCTATGACATACCCTCTTTGTTTACACTCCCAGTTGAGGTCACATGTTTCATCTGAGCTTCACACATTACAGGGGACACAGTGGGTGAACGTCGACTCCCCGGGACAGCCGCTGGTGGAGGTCGGTGCTGGTGCTGGCAGGGTCTGGGGGCTAGACAGGGAAGGTTCTCTCTACCGCAGGACGGACGTGCTCCCGCTCTTCCCCGAAGGAACCAACTGGGAGCGGGTGTCCGGAAACGTGACGAGCTTCAGCGTGGGAGCCGACGGTTCCCTGTGGGCGGTGCTGGAGTCCTACGAGTGTGGGAAACTGACCGTACAGGGAGTCATCGCCCATAGAGTCGGGATAACCGAGTCTTGTCCTTCAGGCACCGGCTGGGAACACACAGTCGGTACCGGGTGGAGCGCCGTCTGTGCCCGGGTCCCTCTGCCGTTGTGACCAAAGAAGTAAACCTGTTCTATTATATAATACAGAACTGTATCTGAGACATTATTCCATTATAAAGAAACACTTAATACTTCTACTTGTTTCTCAGTTGATCGTTGTAAATAGTTTTTTTACCAAGATTTATTAGCTGTTATTTATATTTTATAAGAGAGAGATTGTAGTAGTGGAAGATATGTGTTGCTTCTGGGAACAAGCCTGAAGCTGTTTACCCGTCAGTAGAAGAAATAGTTGGCAGACGATCTTTAACTAGCGTCTCTATACGGTAGGTGTGTGTTTACGTTCGCCAAGATCTCCCGACAATACTGTGAAAAGATTTTGTATTTCCTTTAAAAAGAAACATTTGATTAGCATTAAGTAGTCTTGTTCCACTTGTGTCTTTGGTCATTTTTTCACACAGGGTCACAGTCCACCACAACGAATTAACGGTAAAATTGTGTATCTATTGGCTGGCTGCAGCTCTGGGGAGGGGGTGTAGAGGTCATTACTATGTATGTGGGATTTTATTGGGCATGTGGTGACCTGGAGGCTAGGTATGTGTGTGGACCTGGAGGCTGGGTGTGTGGTGACCTGGAGGCCGGGTATGTGTGGACCTGGAGGCTGGGTATGTGTGTAGACCTGGAGGCTGGGAGTGTGTGGACCTGGGGCTGGGTGTGTGGTGACCTGGAGGCCGGGTATGTGTGTGGACCTGGGGCGGGTATGTGGTGACATGGAAGGGGTATGGTGACCTGGAGGCCTGGTGACATGGAGGCCGGGTGTGTGGTGACCTGGAGGCTGGGTATGTGTGTGGACCTAGGTGTGTGGGACCTGGAGGCCCTGGAGGCCGGGTATGTGGTGACCTGGAAGCCGGGTGTGTGGTGACCTGGAGGCCGGGTATGTATAGCTGTCCTGTATTTCCTTTATTTTTACTTGTATTTTTTTTTTTTTTTTACAATATGTTTGGTAGCTACAAGAGTAACATTGGACTCACGAACAAATGAACTCAAGAACAAATGGACTCACGACCAAGCCACAGAAACATGACTCATTCGTAAGAGGAACACAAGTACCTCCCTTTCAACCCCCCGGCCACCACCCTCAGAGATGGAGTTTGTCACCGCAGACCTCAAAGAAATCCCCACAGTGTTGACGTTACCCGACTCTCACAAAGCTCGCAATCGTTATGAATATTCCGCTGCGACTTTGGTGGGTAGTTTGTCTTTGTTTATTTTTCTGGTTGATATGTCGTTCGAGATGTAGATGAGAGGAAGGCGGTCGGGGGGTGAGGTCGTGAGATGAGTGACAAAATGAAACGTGCGTATCTTGGTGGTATACGCAATTTGGGTCGGAAACGGCATAGAGGACGTTATTTCAGTATTATGACCCATGTTTGGTCTTGCTTCCAGCCCTCGTGTGTGGTGACATCATAGTAGGGATCTATTAGGTGTGAGGGGAAACTATAAACTGATTCTCTTATCTATATTTTAAGTTTTAATTGAGAAATAATATATAGATCTCTTCTATTTTATCATCATTAGTGTTATCGGTATATTTTCTTCATATCTGCTGACATTTTTTCTTATATGTAGAAGTATTGTTTATGTGCAGTGTGTTTTAATATAAGAGCCCAGAGTTCATTGGTTGACTGGACATAAGTGTAGATGAGAGCCCAGAGTTCATTGGTGGACTGGTCTTAAGTGTAGATGAGAGCTCAGAGTTCGTTGGTGGACTGGTCTTAAGTGTAGATGAGAGCTCAGAGTTCATTGGTTGACTGGACATAAGTGTAGATGAGAGCTCAGAGTTCATTGGTTGACTGGACATAAGTGTAGATGAGAGCTCAGAGTTCATTGGTGGACAGGACTTTAGCGTTTACCATACACTCGTCCAGGATACATACACTTGCCTATACAGTAGCACCATCCTTGAGATACCCCTTACTAGTCTTTTATACCACCAATGACAACATCGTAGTAGCACATAGAAACATCACCAACTATATTAAACGTCTCGTACGCTTAATAAAACTAAGAACACGTAATAATATACGATGACGACCAAGAATAAATTAATAATGAAAGAATTATTTTAACTTTTGTACACAACTCTTATCATCATAATCCTTGAACAACCCTGGATGATTGATTACATATATTCTGTTCTTTTTCATAATTGATGAGTTAGTGAGATGACTGACCTTGCTTAAAGACCATAGTTGTTGAAGCACATTGCAGTAATTCTAACATCAACGACTATATGCCTTAGACCTTGTCATATTGTTTATTACTATTTAACAAAACTTACTTGGCTATTTAATGTTTATAATTAAGTTCTATATTGTCTTACTTTTTTAATCTATATCGAATATTTTAGTGTTAATAGCTCTCTCTCTCTCTCTCTTGTCTGGGGTCTCCATAGTGAAAGAGTTTGTAGAGATAATCTATACTAACCTCTTCTGTACAGGCTCTCTCTCTCTCTTTCTCTGCTGAATAAAATCATCTTGTGTTGACCAAATACCCAAAGTGGCATCCCTGTAGTGAAGTACCGAAGAGGTTCAAGAGATGTTGGTACAGTATGGTGTTGTGAATGAGATTTTTGGTTTGTGAAGTTATTGTGTGATATTTAATTTCTATATTGTGATTAAAATATTTCAATGGATGCTGTAACTTGGTGTGATTATGTGCATTTAACCTAACCTAAATCTTACCTTACCTTCATCATCTTAAATCATCATCATCGTTTTCCAGCCTTGTGTGGGTTAGTCAGTTACCTGGTGACAGCTCTCCAAGTTACACATCCTCTCCCCATGTCATTCTTCACCTACCCCTGCTGCCTCCACATTTAGACTCATACCTCTAGTTAGTCTCCTCTATTCTCTCCACCTGCCTAAACAATCTCAGTCTGGCCTCTACACAAAACTTCACCAATTCTCTCACTACCCAGCTGCCCTCTTAGCCCTGAACGAGGCCTCATGTTTCCCAGCGTCACAACATCCATCTTGCCATTCACACTTCAGCTCACTCAAGCCTGCTTATGTCATCCTCTTGAAATGCCTATCGTAGACCTTACCCTAACCTAACCCTATCCTACCCTAAACCCAGAATTGTTGTGGAGTCTCATCAACCTGACAGACATAACATTATATCATCGTGGTATTAAATTATCGCACCTGTGTTGTCATTGATGATTGTAAGAGGAAAAACACTTTATTTATATCATCAGGTGTTACACTGTGGTCAATGATGGTTGCTCATGTGTCACGCTCAGTGTAAGATATTATTATTGTGTTATTGAAGTCCAGTTACAGTTAATGGTTCCTAATTGATTATTTTTATTGTTTGGGATATACTGAATAGTGAAACCTCCATATAATCTGTTAGGTGGGGCTTCATATATAATGTACCCTCGATATAATGGACTTTCATATCTATATACAGTACAGTAGTTCGTTAGATGGGGGTCTCACTTCTAACAGACCCTCGATGTAACGAATTTTCATCTCCATCTAGTCTGTTAAATAGAGGTTTTAATATATTTAAAGAAAATGATGTAAATGTTATTAAACCGTAACCGTCATTAGAGAACAACTGAGGCACATACGATCATAGTGGACCACAGCGACAAAAAAATAGAGAACTTTGGCTCTTTCCTCTCTCTGATCTCCCGCCCGTCACCCTCACCGCCAGCCCACACATAGTGACGAGTGAGTAGGTTGACTTAATAACAAACTCGACAATATTGACACTTCCAGAGGTGATTTCCGTATCATCCCGTCGATAAATATTTCTGACCATCGTGTCGCTGTGATCGCTCTGTTCGTACTCGCCTCATATACCCTAACTGTATTATTGAACTATATTTACAACTCATGACTTTAATCTGTATTTGTTGTTAAATAAGGTTGTAAACTGGTGAGAAAATATTATGTTTATTACAACTGCATTCACGACTTTTGACTCCTATCCTGCCATTGTCATCAGATTTGGTTATAGCAAGAAAAGACGTATTATCACCGTGTTAGTAAACAGTATTCACGACTCCTAACCTGCCATTGTTTAATTGTCAAGAGGAAGAAAATATTAATATCAGGGTGTGTGTGTTTGAGGAATCAGAGATGATGTATAGATTGGCAGTGTCTTGCATACAGTGTGTGTGTGTGGACAACAGCCCATGGTAATATGAGAAACTTCCATTGATAGTGACAGAAGAGTGATGGATAAAACCCTGTATTAGGTAGAGAGTTGGAGCTTCCTATTGACACAAGAATCTGATTTGGGCGCCATTGATTGATTTGTCACTGTCAATGGGAGCGCCTCACAGGGTTTGGTTTATGTATTCTATAGTTCAAATATAATGTTTTTTTTAATATGTAAGGTAATTGCTAGTCATTTGTGTGGACTATGACAACACGAGACTATGTAGTATAGTATGTGAGCCCCGGTACTAACCTAACCCTAATGTAGCCTTAATCTAACCTAATCCAATGCTAATCTAACCCACCATAATCAAACCCAACCTGGCTTAACCAAACCCATTCTAATGTAACCTAACCTGGCTTAACCTGACCTGACTTAACATATAATTTTAGTTTAACCTTAACCCTTAACTTATTCTAAACTAACTTAACCTTGAGGATTGAGGCTCCCACCCAGTCTCAGGTCAGGTCAGGTCATAGAGGGGTTAACCACCACTAGTACTGTACTGGGGACCCTCATGGCAGGTGTTAAGAGGTATGACTTCCAATAGCGACTCGCCGTTTACCTCTCCGTCGATGGTGTAAACGTCGACTGAAATATTACGCATTTAAATAAAGGATAATTGATACGTATATTTAATTGTCATTTGATGTTTTTGTCTTGTGAGTGGAAGAGAGATGAAGGGCTGATTTATTTTGTTTTTAGAATATTATTAGAGAAAAATATTGCTGTTTTCTGGACTGTATGTTGATAGTGTGAGGGAAGGAAGGGGTGTGTGAGGGAGGGAGGGAAGGAGTGTGTGTATGTGTGTGTGTGGGAAGGGTTTTACTTGCGTGTGTGTGTGTGTGTGGAACGTGTCATGTATGTATTGTATAAGTAGGGTTGGTTTAGGTTAGACAGTTCAGTACAATACAGAAGAGATAAGGAACAATAATGAAACTCCATCATTCTAAAACAATTTCAACTTTATTCATGGCAAATCACATACACACAGGTAAGTAACATTGAGTTATGTCCACCAGTCAAAATATGTTATACTCAATCATTTGTGTGTAGGTCTCTTTAGGGGAGGGAGGGAGGGGGGCGGACATTATTTAATTTTCATCTATTTATTTTTTTACGCAGAGGAATCCATGAATTATAAATGGTATATAATTGATTTCTATTTGTTTCTCAGTTTATTTAAGTAATGAGAGAGGTCCATGGCCAAACTCCCTCCCTCTCCCCCCACCCTCCCTATATTCACCACTGTACTCAATGCAACTTGACCTGTAATCATTCTATCACTTGACCTGTAAATCATTTTATCACCAAGACATCAACAACAGGTAGGAAAATAACATAAGAAAAATATCAACAACATCTACAACTACCCAGAGCCACGCCTGCTTAGCTACCCCGACGATACGTGGCGGTGACGGGGGGACCGAGCCGTAGATGATCGTGTGACTAAACTCTGTGTCTAAGAGGAGAGAAGTGAAACCCCTATTTAACGGACCATATAGAGGAGAAAGTCCGTTATATCGAGGGGTCCACTAGATGTGAACCTCTCCATCTGACGGATCATAAGTTCGTTATATAGGGGTTTCACCGTATTTTGATATGCGTTGGTTGGTTCGTGTACGTACCCCAGGCGAGCGTGTCGGGCGGGTGAGACTCATCCGCAGCGTAAAACAAAGTAAGTATGGTGTTTTATCTTGTATTTGGTCGTCTCTTGAGTTACGAAGGCTTGGTAATGACAAATTTTAATTAGGTAAAGTTAATCAAGAAGAGAATCCTTTCATAAATTGAGTAGCAGTTGTATCTATCTCTAAACCAATTCATTTTTGTATTAGTTAAGAGAACAAAGATCGTAAACTTTATATCACTGTTCCCAGGTGTTGAATATATACTGCCGTCGAAATTCAAAAGCCATCGTGACTCTTGAAGATGGCGTTGATAATCTGTTGAATATAGTGTAGTTATTTAAGAATGCTGACCTCACTGCATGGAATGTCTTCTTAAAACTATATATTGTAATTAACTTTTGAGCAAATCATACTGTACATCTATATATTATTTTTAGATGATAATGTCCATCCCTTGTGTTGGAGGCTGGCTGGAACTAGGGCCACATGGGCGTGAATTTGTTTAAGGTGTAGAAGCTGTCGCCAACACAACAGCCACACCCTGAGTTAACGAGCTGCGTGACCCAGTGTTTAAGGTGTAGAAGCTGTCGCCAACACAACAACCACACCCTGAGTTAACGAGCTGCATGACCCAGTATCAAGGAATAGTCCGAGAAGACTGGACAACTCACCAACTGCAGTGACTAACCATTACCCTGGAACACGATCCACAAATCGACTAACATCCAGGTCCCCAATTACTGCTGGGTAGACAGAGGCAAATGGCGTAAAGAAATACCCCAGTCACCAGGAGGTATTAGTAGACTCATTATTAAATGTGTTTAGCTTTATAAAATTAATATATCATTATATTCAGGGGAACACAAAGTGACCAGGTTCTCCAGCTTATTTAACCTGATGATTGAACACCTTAATACTACTTGGAGGGTTAGGTTAGGGTTGGTTAGAGTAAGGTTGGTCAGGTTAGGTTAACATTAGATTGTTTTAATCACTACTTAATGGGTTAGTACTACATAGTATTGTATTGAGTTCCTTTGGTAATAGTAAGTCAGTTCATCGGGATATTTGATAAATCGACAACTCCAGCAGCCACCATTATCACCCCCCCTACACCATTACCCCCCCACCATTATCACCCCCCACCATTACCATCACCCCCACCATTACCATCCCCCACCATTATCACCCCTACACCATTACCATCACCCCCCACCATTACCACCCCCATCATTACCATCACCCCCACCATACCATCACCCCATCTCCACCATTATCACCCCCCATCCACCATTACCATCACCCCATCTCCACCATTACCATCCCCCAGGTTAAATAACAAAGCTTTTACTGTCCGAGAAAAGTTACATTCTTAAGTCATTGTCTAGCGGCATGAGCAAAGTAACGATCACTTAGGCGTTGGTCCGTCAATAACCGGGGCTTCCTGGAGCGTCACGAAACACGTATCGGAGACGAGACACGGCGAAGCTTCGTACTCGAGGATCATGACCGTGTTGATGCCCTTCATCAACACGTCGCTGGGAACGTAGAGCGTCAATTGGGGTCCGACCTCTGGCCAGTATCGACCCAGGCAGAAGTCATTCACCCATACCAGACCCTGTGAAGAATGTTGTATTAGTTAACGAGACATGATGGTTAGGTTAGTGTAGTGTTCAATATGAGAAATAAGGTCAGGGGGGTTAATCTTCAGGTCAACCATATTCCCCTTCCACATAGCACACCAAATACCGATCTTGTTTAACTCTCACGTCGCTGCATTGCCCATCAGCTGCACGTACATATTTTTTTACACATGTAACCCCTTTATAAGATGGCTGGAATCATATAAACAACTGACTCTCACTCGGTCACTGTCGATCATTCATTCAAGATGGCTAAATAGATGATGTTTTTCCTTGGTGATCAGCTTTCACAATAACGTCACAGTATCTTGTTTAATTCTTCTTTTTTTTCCACACACAAACACAATCAGTAATCACCACTCAACACCACCAATCACCACTCAACACAAGTCACCCACCCCAACACACGACCACATACAGACTCAACATGTACACGAAGATGAAGCGACAAATTAACTAACCTTCCTCCAGCCTTCAACACTCAGGAAACTATCTTGAGGCTGATCATCCGTATCCGGGATGGTAAACGAACCCTCGTAGAAGGTCATACCCCCGTCGGGTGTTCCCTTCAGCTCTAGCGGCGACGGGTGACTCTTGGACACTTCACGACGCAGGTGTTTCATGACGCTTGAGAGGCGAGGTACGTTGGTCACTGGCAGCGGCGTCATCTTCCAGTTCTCTAACGTGTAGCCTTTAACTGTGACGTTTGTAGTTAACCCCTTCAAGAGGTAGAGAATGTGGTGAATAATCTAATTATATCTAACTAATTACTGTACATCACTTAATAATCTATCTAATTATCTAAACTATTAATATGTAACTACCACATATCTATTAATTACCTTAAAGTCGTTAATTTGCCCGCCGAAACATACTCTGCCTTGACTCTCCACGATAATTGATATGGTCTGGTTAGGTGTGGCAGAGAGGGCAAGGTCGTACAGTTCCTGCTCCCGAGACACCATCCCGACGTACTTGTAGTCCACGAACACGTAGCCACGGTCGTGTACCTCGTTGATGGTGAGGCGGGCAGGATCTGACTGCAGGTGGAGGGGGGTACGTCAGAGCAAGGGGTCGAGGGTATGTTTAAGCTTTGTTGGCCCTCTCATTATGGTAGATTCAGGGGCATTTTAGAAGACAGTTTACTAGTGCTGTTATTTAGAGTATTTTCTTATTGGTGTATTTGAATCATTATCATCACTATCATCATCATTATCCAAGACAGTGCAGGTATACATACAATGGTAAACAGTACGACAGTTCAACCACCGATAGCCAACAAAACAATCAGATATTTCATTCCAGCAAGATCATGAAACAAAATTCACTCAAATATGATAACTAAACAAGCATCTGATAGTTACAATAAATCACAACTTACAATCCTGAACGGCAGAACGGTCTCGTAAATAACCAGGCCATTGGAGACCAGCAGACCCTCAAACGTCAGTGGATATTTCTGAGTGACGGATTGGAGGAACGAAGACATCTGGAACAGGCTGCCCTTTGCTGCCACCTCTACCTTCCCATAGCTGTACTTGAGGGAGGCCGGCGGGACGTCCCCAGCCGGTAGAGGCAAATACTGTACAGGAATGTGGGAAAATATAATACAGTACTTTAAGTGGTAAGTGTAATACATGAGTTAAGTGTAGTCAAGTGTACGGTATGGAATGATCAAACGTATATAAATCCTCCTTATTTCACTCGAACGATTTGGTTATGTTAGGTTAGTTTAAGTTAGACGATGTTAAGTTATGTTTGGTTAGTTTAGGTTAGATTATGTTAAGTTAGGTTAGGTTACAGTATTTTAGGTTAAGGTTAGGACTCAATAAACATAATATCACCTTCTTCGTGGTGTTCCTAATGATCCAGTACTTCTGGGTCGGGTCGCCGGCCTCAGACAGTGGGGCGTCGTAATCATAGGAGGTGGGACAAGCTTGGAAACTTCCCCCCATGTTAGCACCTGATGTAAAATGTTGATAGTTTGTGATCTATTGATATAAATGTTGATAGTTTGTGATTTATTGATATAAATACCCTCTCTCTATGCATGAACCATTTGTATGATAATTTTACTGAATAAATATCTATCTATCTATCTATCTAGCTATTTACACATTCTCTCTCTCTCTCTCTCTCTCTCTCAGTCTACCTTACTTTCTGTCAAATTATCTCTCTCTCTCTCAGTCCCCCTAATCTCTCTCTCTCCCTCTCTCTCTCTCTCTCTCTCTCTCTCTCTCTCTCTCTCTCTCTCTCTCTCTCTCTCTCTCTCTCTCTCTCTCTCTCTCTCTCTCTCTCTCTCTCTCTCTCTCTCTCTCTCTCTCTCTCTCAGTCTGCCTAATTTCTCTCTCTCTCTCTCTCTCTCTCTCTCTCTCTCTCTCTCTCTCTCTCTCTCTCTCTCTCTCTCTCTCTCTCTCCAGTTTCAGTACACAACTCACCAGAGGTCAGGCCGAAGGAGGTACCACCGTGAAACATGTACAGGTTGACAGATGCGTTCAAGGCCAGCATAGTGTCCAGCGTCTTAGCAACAGTCTGGGGGTGTGAGAAGACGCTTGTTGTTATCGCTTCTAATCATAAGGTGGATAAAATAAGCGGGTCTTTTATACGATACGGATGTCTTAAAGGTATGATCGTCGAGTTGTTTTTTGTGGTAAGCGAGTGGATGTTTCTGTTATAATATCAACATTGTCCTCACACACATCACTAAGTAAAGGACAATGTTGGTGTTATAATACGAACACTCTCACTTAAGTCCTACAGGATACCCATAAATTATTAGACCCATTCTAATAATATAAAACCTCAAGGCAATTATATAGAATACATTGGTTTTGTTACATATGATGAACTAGGCTTAATGAATGTAAGGAATTGTTCATCATATACAAAAAAATACTGCATATTATCGAAGTTATTAAATTTATAAATGGTTCCAATAATATTTCCGGGGCTATTACAATGGATGGTATAGTAATCTCTTAGACACGCTGTATATTCGTCCAGCTGGCTAGTGTGTATTTCCCACGGTCGGTGTTGTTATCTGTACTCAAGCACCGGGCCGAGAAAGTAAACACACAAGGCATCTGTTACCACCCCATGCTGCTTCCCACGTTGGTGATATACCATGGGTCATCTTGTGCCTACCACTGTTGACTCCCGCGGTGTTATTCTCTCTGTCTCTCTTTCCACCTGTTTGTCTATTTATTTATCTACCTATCTATCTATCTCCCAGGATCCCTTAGTATACACAAATAACATCTCATTCTATAAACCAGTAAATAAATTTCTACTCCATATAATATCAACGTATTACCACGACGTCTTTGCCTCACCTCAGCATCTACCGTGCTGTGTGGTTCACCCCAGTGGTCCAGCCAACCGGGATAATACTCCGAGTTCACCAGAGGGCCCCGAGGCTCAAACAGTCTCATTGCCGCGAACGCATCGGTTACGCTCGACCCTGAAGAAGAGAACGGCACAGACTGGTTAGGTGTGTTCTTGTTATGGTACTTGTATTAACATTCAACATTTTAATAAGCTGTGAGGTAAGGATAATGTTTAATTGGATGTAATTCGTTAACATTCAACATTTTACCAGGATTGAGTATGATGATTTAACCCCTCGAGTATGATGATTTAACCACTCGACTATGATGATTTAACCCCTCGAGTATGATGATTTAACCCCTCGAGTATGATGATTTAACCCCTCGAGTATGATGATTTAACCCCTCGAGTATGATGATTTAACCACTCGACTATGATGATTTAACCCCTCGAGTATGATGATTTAACCCCTCGAGTATGATGATTTAACCCCTCGACTATGATGATTTAACCCCTCGAGTATGATGATTTAACCCCTTGAGTATGATGATTTAACACCTCAAGTATAATGATTTAACCCCTCACAGCTAACTTCCACTGATGATGGCTAGCTTCTAACGCACAAATACACAACAATACATTCCCTTACCGGACCCAAAGTCTACGGTACTGTAAACGCCGGGTATTTTGCCACACTTGAGGTAACTCGCACCATCTCCATCAGTAGTGAAGAGAACAACGTCGTCGCCGAGACCCTGACGTATTATATCCCTCATGTGTGACGTGTAGGCGAAGTCGCACGCCGGGAAACTGCCGTACTCATTCTCAACCTATCGGTGATCGACGGAGGTTAGATTTGGTTAGGTTAAGGATAAAGGAGCGTGGGTTAAGTTAGGGTTAGGTCAGATTAAGTTAAATTAGGTCAGTTAAAACTACATAATACAACTAACTTATGAGTCAAAATTAATGAATAGGTAAATAAGACTAATTTTTCTCAGATGGGAGTTTGGTGATGAAGCAAACATAAGAACAGGTGTTTGAGGGAGGAATATTCTCATGCCATTTGTAAGGTCAAAAACATGTGTCAAAGAGTAAAATAACCAAACATCTGCTTCTGTGTTTTGGGCTGCCACACTCCCTCGGTATAAAGGGTATAAATTGTAGTAAAAAATGTGTAAATAAACATAGGTAATAGAACACCTGTAAATTAACACAGGTACATAATAGAACATCTGTAAATTAATGGGGTTCTACAGGTATGGCTCTTACTCCCCCTCACCTGCACCATGATGATTGGTCCACCGTTCGCGTACAGTAGCGGCCTAATCTTGGGCAACAGCACGTTATTGAACCAGTTGTCAACGTAGATCAGATACGCTGTGTGGACGGCCGATAACGTTAATTAGAACGAATGACACTTGGCAGCAACGTACAGTATACACAACTATACATATACATCTAAATTTCTATATATATTTTCACACACCTTAATATCTATGTATAGTTTAACACATCTAAATATCTCTATGTACGTTTTAATGCATAGATAATCAATACAAATCTACAGTCGTTTTACATTATTCGTCACAGAAACACAGACAAAACACTCAACAAGTGACACACACACAGACAGTCATCAACAAGAGAGAGATTCTACATACTGGGATCAGAACTTCGGAGTCTCATGCTTGGGTTCTTGTTCAATAACCAGTACGGCAGACCTCCCTGGTGGGATGAGAACTAACCTTACAGTACATATAGTAATTAATTATATTAGTGGAGAATAGAGATGATGTACTAATTAAGAGGAGATGTATATATTACTAATTACTGTAAGTGTGTCAATTAGTTAAGTGTTAGTAGAGATGTACTAATTAGTTCAGTATAATTAAATAAAGAGATGCAATAATTATATAAGTATTGTAGTTATATAGGTACAATATCACTATAATTCATTACGACCAATTATATCATCAGTGTCGAGTCGTAACTCTTCGACTACTCCACCTACCATGTCTCTCTCAGCGTCAATAAACGGTCCGGGACGTAGGATGACGGCTAGGCCCTCCTCCTGAGCCGTCTTGATGAAAGTGACGAGGTCGAACATACCGGTGAAGTCATACATCCCTTGCTCGGGTTCATGGCTCGACCACTCCACGTAGCTATGGAAACAACGACCAAACATTACCATCGAGAAATAAATGGATATATAGACAGAGAAATACATACATACATACATACATACATACATACATACATACATACATACATTAATACATACATACCCGGTACATACGTATGATTGTTAAAAACTGAGACTAATGTTATACTTTTATTTCTACTCATCAACAACTAAGGTCATTAAGTGCATAACAAGCTATTGCTGAGGGGGGGGTAGCTGATGGGGGTGACCTGCTGGGGGGAGAGGTAGCTGATGGGGTGACCTGCTGGGGGGAGAGGTAGCTGATGGGGTGACCTGCTGGGGGGAAGGGGTAACTGATGTGATAACCTACAGGGAAGAATAATTAAAATTCCATTATAATTAATATTCAGCCAAGACGTAACAAGAAACTCGTAACATACGTCTGCAGGGCGTTAAAACCAGCCATACGCATCTTCTTGAGGCGATCTCTCCACTGTGTCGGTAGAACACGGAAGTAATGGATGGATCCCGACACGTAGCGGAAGGGCTCTCCATCTTTCAGGAATTGATCGTTTTCGTAGTCAATTACAAAAGTCGGACCTGTTTCAAGCTTTTCCTGTATAATATAAGATGGTCGCTATTATCTTTGGCTCCACGGAATATTTAAGACAATTGATTAACCACTTCAATGTTATCTTGGAAGGGGGTTAGGTTAGATTAAATATTGTTAGGGTAGGGTTGGATAATGATAGGTTAAGGTTAGGTTAGGTAGTTAGATAGATAAAGAGACAGATAAATAGGTAGAAGGATAGATAAACAGATAGATAGATGGATAGAGATTTATTCAGTAAAATGAATCTTGAGGTAGTGAACAGATCCTCAAATTATTTAGAAAAGTTTAGAAATATACAGATTTATAACAATATTTAAGCCTTTTGTTTGTATTTAAAATGTAAAGACAATGAAATAGTCTTATAAAACGTAAAAAAAAAATTATATATACATACCAAATACAAATTAAGATAAAAATATACAAGTAATAAACAAAGATAATTATACTGAAATATTACTTGTTATTCATAAAATATATATAAGTACCTGACTATATCAAAACAAATAAATTTTCTTTTACATTGAGAAATAACAATGTAATGGGTGATAAATCTTTTACCTTGGCATATGAACCACTCAACATAAGGAGACAGAGACCAAGGAGAATATTTACTATAGTCCATCCTTCCATGTTGTCGCTCACCCGTTTTCTGTAAAGCCGTCACACGTTACGTAAAATAAGCGATCATTAACAAACCACATGATCAATACAGCTATATGTATTACTACTACTGTCACCTCTCACTCATATGTATACATCCTACATATAATAACTATCTATATACACTTAAAATTATATAAATTACAACTATACACTAAATAAAATAAAAATAATGAAAGCTATTAAAAGGAATATGTTAAATTCACCTGTTTATATTAGTCCAATATATAATTACAGAATAAGTAAATATGTAGATTGATATGTAGTTAAGAGGATATAGCTGCCACACTAGACTCAGTTCACTGTGTGGCTGCCCCGTGGTAACTGACACACACTCATATGTTATGCCCTAGACTTACAGTATCTGTCGACTATGCAATTTTAGATACAACTCTCATTTTATATATTTAGTGTAACCTTTATATATTTTGTATCTTTATTCTGCGTTTATATCCGTCATAACTCATAACTAGTTAGCTTTGTTTAAAAAGTTATTGGAAATTTTTATACGTTTGGCAGTGCTGTTGGCAGATAAGGGTGAGATAACTTGTGTGTTAGCTTAACCCAGTTATTCTCTCTCTTTCCTTCCTTCTTTCTGATGCTTGTGGTATACTGTACTGTACTGTACCTGGTGTTGGCAGTCAAGCAAAAAACACTTTCTTCTTCACAGTTATAAAAGACTGAAACAAGTTAACAAACTACACCAAAACCAGTAATAGTGTAAAACAATTAATAACAGATGAAGCTGTTTCTGTATTAACCACAAAATATTGTATTGTTGAAGTGATCTGCCAACCTCAGTTAGTCCAAGTACAATGTAATGACTGTTGAATTTACCAGAAAACTTTCACTATTTCTCCTGTAGACATACTATTACTGATTAGAGACCTGGCCTAAACCAAGGACCCCACTGTAAATAAGTATCTGATGGCTTTACCAAGTAGTAAGTCTATGAATCTATCTATTTATCATTAAATCTATATAACTATTTATATCATCTAACCTTACAGAAGTGAAGAACAAGGGACAGGCTGATGACAGGAGGCTACTTCACCTCCACCAGATGACTGAGGCTGCATCACCACCACCAGATGACTGAGGCTGCATCACCACCACCAGATGACTGAGGCTGCATCACCACCACCAGATGACTGAGGCTGCATCACCACCATGACTGAGGCTGCATCACCACCACCAGATGACTGAGGCTGCAGATGACTGCATCACCACCAGATGACTGAGTCTGCATCACCACCACCAGATGACTGAGGCTGCATCACCACCACCAGATGACTGAGTCTGCATCACCACCACCAGATGACTGAGGCTGCATCACCACCACCAGATGACTGAGTCTGCATCACCACCACCAGATGACTGAGGCTGCATCACCACCACCAGATGACTGAGGCTACTTCACCTCCACCAGATGACTGAGGCTGCATCACCACCACAGATGACTGAGGCAGCATCACCACCACCACCAGATGACTGAGGCCACCACCACCAGATGACTGAGGCTGCATCACCACCACCAGATGACTGAGTCTGCACCACCACCACCAGATGACTGAGGCTGCATCACCACCACCAGATGACTGAGGCTGCATCACCACCACCAGATGACTGAGTCTGCACCACCACCACCAGATGACTGAGGCTGCATCACCACCACCAGATGACTGGAGGCTGCACCACCACCACCAGATGAGAGGCTGCATCACCACCACCAGATGACTGAGGCTGCATCACCACCACCAGATGACTGAGGCTGACCAGATGACTGAGGCTACTTCACCACCACCAGATGACTGAGGCTGCATCACCACCACCAGATGACTGAGGCTGCACCACCACCACCAGATGACTGAGGCTGCATCACCACCACCAGATGACTTGAGGCTGCACCACCACCACCAGATGACTGAGGCTGCATCACCACCAGATGACTGAGGCTGCATCACCACCACCAGATGACTGAGGCTGCACCACCCACCAGATGACTGAGGCTGCACTCACCACCAGATGACTGAGGCTGCATCACCACCACCAGATGACTGAGGCATCATCACCACCACCAGATGACTGAGGCTGCATCACCACCACCAGATGACTGAGGCTGCATCACCACCACCAGATGACTGAGGCTGCATCACCACCTCCAGACAAGTATTTGTATATATTAAAATTTCAGTGAATATGTAAACAAAATTACTGACTCTTCTTACCACATATTGTTATTACTAGGAGAACATTGTCAGATAACACACAGTCAACCACATTCTTATACAGTACAATCACCTGAAGATCAGCCCCCAACTTAAGTCATGTACAGATCAGCCCCCAACTTAAGTCATGTACAGATCAGCCCCCAACTTAAGTCATGTAAAGATCAGACCCCAACTTAAGTCATGTACAGATCAGACCCCAACTTAAGTCATGTACAGATCAGCCCCCAACTTATATCACCTGAAGATTAATCACCAAACCTAACCCTCTGTACACACTCTTATCTATAGATGTAAACTGGTCTCTAAGAATATCCCAAAACTGTCATTAGGTATTTTTCTGTTTTTGTTGAATAGAGTAAATATGTTCCCGGCACAGAGAAATGTGAAGAAAATGGCTGGTTACTGGTATTTGGTGGTGTGGTGGCAGTGTGGTAGCGGTGGTGGTGGGAGTGGCAGTGTGGTAGCGGTGGTGGTGGTTGAGTGGTAGTGGTGGGGGTGGCAGTGTGGTCGTGGTGGTGGTAGGGTGGGTGGGGTGGAAGTGGCAGTGTGGGGTTATGTGATATTTGGTTCACACTCAGGATGGGATGGAGAAAGGAAACTCACAATGTGCTCTCTGTATACATGTTATATTGGATGTACAATGCAGCTTGGTGCTGGGAAGGCAGCGTGGTTACAAGCGTGATGTAGAGAGAGCTGGTTGGTGAGGGTGCTCAGAGGAGGACCAGCTTGTGGGTCGCCATGCTCGCCGGCGGGAGCGAGGACCGCCAGGCAGGCGGAGGAGGAGCGAGGACCGCCAGGCAGGGGCGGAGGAGGAGGTGTTGCTTGCTGGTGGCTGTGGGTAGAAAGAGCGGTCACCACGAGGTGTGGGTCGCCATGGTCTTCGGCTGGAGCGAGGGCCGCCAGGCAGGAGTAGAGGAGGAGGTGTTGCTTGCTGGTGGCTGTGGGTAGAAAGAGAGGTAGGTCACTATGAGGTCAGGTCTTATATAGCGGAGGTAGGCGTGGCTTAATAGTTGACCTCCGTCATGTAAGGCGGCGTTGGTTGACCTAGACCACGAGGCATACACTGGGGAATTCGCGGGGTCAGCTACTCAGCGACAAGCGTTTGTAGAGGAGGAATCCACTACAGCAGTATGGTAGTGGTGGCAATGTGGTAGTGATGGTGGGGGTGTGGTAGGGTGGATGGTGTAGTAGTGATGGTGGGGGTGGGTGGTGGCTGTGTGGTGGTGTAACAAAGTCTCAGTAAATGGCTGGTAAGAGACAGAGTCCTAGCGTATTACCTGTACATACTAAGACAACTGTAAACTTGTATAACGTTATTAATAAATATCTACCTAACTACACTACCTACAAGTGCTATACTTATATTTACTGTACATATACACAACTACTTTACCCAGTTAGTCACACATTTAAACTGAGGACCACAACACATATCTTCTTGTGTATTATGTACTGTATATTAAACTTGTATCTGAACTAATAGGTCTATTGTATTATGTAGTGTATAATAAACTTGTATATAAACTCGTAATAGGTCTATTGTATTATGTAGTGTATAATAAACTTGTATATAAACTCGTAATAGGTCTATTGTATTATGTAGTATATAATAAACTTGTATATAAACTCGTAATAGGTCTATTGTATTATGTAGTGTATAATAAACTTGTATATAAACTCGTAATAGGTCTATTGTATTATGTAGTATATAATAAACTTGTATATAAACTCGTAATAGGTCTATTGTATTATGTAGTATATAATAAACTTGTATATAAACTCGTAATAGGTCTATTGTATTATGTAGTATATAATAAACTTGTATATAAACTCGTAATAGGTCTATTGTATTATGTAGTATATAATAAACTTGTATATAAACTCGTAATAGGTCTATTGTATTATGTAGTGTATAATAAACTTGTATCTGTAGTTGATACCCTGATGTGTAGGCTACTTTACTGTACGGTATTGGACTACAAATATTGTTTCTCTTGTTTCAAGTATAATGTATTAATAAAGCCTCTAAGTGCTCAACTGTAGTATCCATAATGTATTTTTATTGTACATGTGATTAATTGACAATACAAATGACTAAATCCGTCTAAATTGTGTATTTTTAAACCTTGGTGGGACGTGACAGCAGAAAGTATTGATGTTGTTGAATACTAGATTATAATAATGATATTGTTAATAATAATAGGATCGTTTTGAATATTGTAAGACTACTAAAAGGTGGATACTGTCCCCTTGAATATAGTGTATGTAAAGACAACATGTACAACATGTACAATATAGTGTATGTAAAGACAACATGTACAATATAGTGTATGTAAAGACAACATGTACAATATGTAGTGTATGTAAAGACAAGATTATGTTTTATTTTATCGTGTTGACCATTGATCGGCTCGTTGGCCGCCCGGGTGATGGGTGAGGTGTGTGTGACACACTGTTGACAAGTACTGGTCATGTACGGGCTCGTGAACGTGGTCAAGTGTGGTCTTGACAGAGGTGACACTCGGTGCCGTCACAAGACTCTGTGGTAGACTGTTCCAAGAGTTGACAACTGTGACGGTGAAAAAGTTTGCCTTGAGAGTTTTGTGGGAGGGAGATGTGGTAAGTTGACTACTGGCCACACTGTACACTGGGTCCTTGTACTGCACCCTGAGAGGTAATGTTCTCTTCTCTCTATATGACGAAGCAACGCAACTACTGGAATTGTGTTGTGGACAGTGAAGGACAGACCAAGACTATGAATATATCATGAAAAATTTGACCCCTTCAAATTTTGTTTCTTCCCTCTATCTTTCATTCTTTCCTTTGTGTTTTGATGAGAGGAAGAAGAAGAAGAATAAGAAGGATTTATGTTTTGATGAGAGGGAGAAGAAGAAGGTTTAAGGGGTAACTATTATATTTCATCATAGAAAACTAAAAGGGGTAACTATTATATTTCATCACAAAACGGACCATGAGTAATTATTAAATTTAATCAGTTAATCAGTTTTGTGTGAACGTTTATTCTTTCTGATAATGCTATTAATTAGTAAATATAAAATAGATTATGATATTAAAGACTTATTTGATTATTCCCGTAATTAATGAAGTAATTACAT